GCGTACGCACCGACGTACCGACATACATCTCCTCGTTACATTATCAAGGAATTTTAAAAGCATTTCTCCACGTATTCAATATTCAGCACACCGGCCGTCGGCGTATTTCTAGTTAAACTCGATCAAAAGTTCATCTTAGATCAACTATTATAGATGATGGAGTTTTATTTATTATCTTTGTTTCGTAAAAGAATAGAAAAAGAATTTGTAGTTTTAAAATCAATTTATTTTTATCCATTGTATTTTTCCGTGTTGCCTTGGAAATTGATTGAATTTAAAATATTGATTAGGAATTAATGCATAAAATAGTAAAAATAGTAAAGTTTCTTGTTAAATTCTTTCAGAAATGTATAGAAATTAGCTTAAAACGTGATACATTAGCGATTTTGTTGTGATCAAAATCTGTTATTCTAGGGGGTCGTCAGTCAATGATCTAGGCTAAATCTAGGAGGGAGGTTGTGTCAACATGGTCCAATTTTTTAATCCATATCTTTTTTGATCCATAGGCATTTTAAGCAATTTAATATTTAGCAAAAGTATGTATGTATATACTATATACTATTTTTTAATTTTTAAATTTCAATTTTTTTCGATTCAAAGTGGGAGGAAGTTTCCCGTCCCACGGCTCCCGCATGCCCCAATTTGAGGCCATTTCATTTTTAGGGTTCCGTACCTCATAGGAAGAAAACGGAACACTTATAGGATCACATAGTTGTCCGTCCGTCTGTCTGTCAAGACCCTTTTTCTCAAAAACGCGTGAAGGTATCAACCTGGAATTTATTAAGATATTATTCCTGTTATCAAAGTGATGGTAATCGTTTTAAAATTTGTGTTATCATATGCATCAATTACGTTGAGTCATACTTACTTGAAATCACAAGTCTAAAAGTGTTTAAAGGAATTTGCACCATATTAACGCTATAACAACTACAAAATTACGTAAAAAGTATACGTAATTGATAATTATTTTATAAATAAAACGAGCTAATGTTAAATATTATGAGCATGGAGATATGTGGATTAGTACGCAGTCTGGCTAATGTTTTTTTTAATCGATCGTTAATGTCGTTAAACGTAATCCTTTACTACAAATGTCTGTATTGAATTAACGGTAACTGCTCACTCGATTCCAATAAAACAATTAACCTCCTTTGTATTTTTATAACATTACTGGCCAGTAACAATAGATTTTTTTCTTTGTGTTGTGTTCAGTGTTTCATTTCTAAAATAAATAAATTAATGTTAGCAGAATTGTCTCAACCTCAGTTCATTCGGTTTTAATATAATAGTCTCCGTTTTTCGTTGCTATGCTAATGTACACGCATGTAACAGTGAAAACAAAACAACTTGTTTTATTTTACATCAACCTTATTTCTATATAGGATTCGATAGAATCGTAGATTCGTAGACCCGTAGATCCGTAGACCTAGATGCGTAACTATAATACTTGCGACCACTTATAACGTAGTTCACCATTCGGCCAATGACAGTAATCTTTTACGTATAACGTAATGTCATAAAGTCTTTTTGGTGTTATAAAATATGCGTAAAAAACAAAATGCTCTCGCTCCTAGTCTGGACAACTTTGGTATATTTGATTTTACAAACCAAGTAAACAAACTCAACTGATGCTTGAAAGGTTTTGATGTTACACTTAATGAAGCAATGTTTTTCCAAATTTAAAAATGTAATTGAAGACAGAATAATTTTAACTAAGAGAGTTTTTAAATAAAAAGTTGTTTTTGCGTTTGCACGTAGCATTAGTGTTTGATTTCATACCTACATTTTTATTCGGGCCACCGAAATAGCTGTTAACATTGGCATTCAGCTGTTTCCCTGTCATTTTCTATTTTCTCTCTCTAAATATAATAACATCGGTACAACACAAGGCTGACATTTTTCTTTAGTCGCCGGGAGATCGTTAGTTAGAATATACTTTCAACTGTGTCATAAAACTCAAGATTAATGTTTTTAAAATTTTAAAATTGGAATGTCATGCATAAAATCATCAATTGTCGCTGGCGTTTTTTTTTTCTAATAGTTATAATTGTAAACATGAAACCTTAACCTTATGACGCAAGAGTACCGATCTGACTTTGATTGAACCTAACCGTGTGTTTCCACAGCCTTCTCATGCCTAGAAATTAAGATAATATATTTTCGGATAGGTAATTTGGCAGTGTGATACCACGGTAAAATTGATTTAAGATTGCAATTGTCTGAAGTCACAAACCTACATATGGAATATATTTAATCTTGAAATGCAGTCAAGTAAATTATAACAAAAAAAAATATCACAAAACCTTGCAAGACATTGCAATATACGTAAAACAAAAGTAAAACAAAGATAATCTTTATCAATCATAAATTAGTAAAAACGTAAATGTGTATAAATCTTATTCGGATGTCTTTTAAAAAAAATAAAGGTGAACACAAACAACGTTGTATATAATAATTAGCAACTAGATCTACTATCGTATTCGTAAGCGAAAAAGACATATTTTAAGGTAATCAATAGCTTATAAATCCATTTATAGCTTCTCACCAATAAAAAGCTATTATTCAGATTATGTGTTGTTAAGCTGAACTTGACAAAGTATCTTCTTTAAATTTAAGATAATATTTACGAATACACAACACTGAATAAAAGCTGTTTTGCATCGCTTTTTTTAGTTGGCAACCCTACCTATTTGTTAAAAACAAATAAAATAATTAAATCCTTTGTGTATTATAAAAATATAGATTTTATGATAAAAAATTGTAAACGAAAGATGATTGTTCTTGTTAATCACTTTAATTCAGCACGGGTCGTTGATCTTCAGATAAGCGTTGTAATCGGCCAAGGACCGAGAAATAAGGTTCACGCACAAACAACGACGTAACTAGGCTTGCAAAAACAAAAGCAATTACTGATGTTTCTAAATAATGAGAGTTTATACTTGACCTCAACCGCCTTGTACGTAGCCATATAGTTTCACCAATGTTTTTAAATATAAACAAATCGTAATTGCATTCGTTTTTCTTATTACTTTCCATTAGATGAAAATAAAGATAGGAAAAAATATTTCCAGTCCAATTCTCTTGTGTCCAATTCGAAAGAAAAGCAAGTCGCTAGCGAATGGAACTTTCAGAACGACAAATACAAAGACCTGCATGTCTTTTATGTCTCTACAATGTCCAATGCTGCGAGTAGTAGAGTCACATTAAAAGAAGTGCTTTAAACATAATTTAAGTTTATATGATAACACTAAATTTATAGAACTGCATTAACAATATGTCCTAAGACTAAGCTACCCAATAAATTGTAAAGATTTTTACAGAAAGGAAACTTTAATTTAATCTTTAATTGTCTTTATGTTAAACTATGGGTACTCGTGTTTTGTTTTCACTAATTTTTCCGACTTCGATTATCACGAGAAGTACTTGACTAATTAAAACAAATTTTTACATATAGCAATACTTCATTCCTACAACTTCGCTACGAAAGTGTATCTGGAGAAATTTGAAATGTATAAATAATTAAAAAAAAATCATTTATAGTTGAGAGTCATATTGTCATTTTAAACAGACTATGACGAACGATACAAAAATATTTATCCACATAGATCAGTGTCACAAAGTATTCAAGCTTTGCCAGCAACTAGCTCCAATGTCGAAGCGTCGCGTCGCCGTCGGCCACGCTCCAAATAAACATTCAGGAGATGATAATCACCTGAGAAAATATCAAACCAACTTTTCTAGAACACCTCACGTTTATTTTCAAATAGTACCAGTTCATTTATACTTAAAATAATAAACTACCATTTTTATTACCCACAATAAATACAAATTACATTTCTCAATATAAAGTAGATTAGAAAATAAACATAAATACAAAATCCAAAAGAATTCAAATCTAAAGGGTTTCAAAACATTTTAATCCAGTATAATGGCACTTCCTTATGGTTTCACCCAATTTGTTATCCCATAAAAATCCCATATCTATGGTCATTATTATGCTAAAAATTACCAGGGGTCGCGTAGATGAATTTAATTACCATCACGAAAATGCAGCTTTTAATGGTAAATTAATTATCTCATATTTTATGAAAATAAACAAGTCTTTCTGTGGACGATCTAAATATAGTTTTCAAGACAATTCTTCTCGAATTAGAACTTCGAAAGGAAAAAAGTTTGAAAGCAATAAATTTTAAAGAATGTATCTAGTGGTCCAAACAAATATCGCATATTTGTATAGTGGCGGCAGCTCGACCCGGGCAGCGCCTGCTATAAAAAGATCATCATAGATCGGCGGACGATGGCGGCTGCGCGACATGCAACCCTGGACTCGGCTATACCATCGAGTACTGTTGCCAAAATAATTAAAGAAATCTCCGTCGTGTCCCTCCGCCGCGCCCGCGCCGCTCTAAAATCGTCGCTCTTTGCCCGGGAGTCGCTACTCGGGGCGCGGCGGGAAAACATCTCCCGCGTCACTCTTATTTCTTCTTTCCTTCTCGCAGCTGTCGAAAAAAAATTATTCAGTAAGTCCCTAATTTAAAATCCATAAAACAATTTTACCGTGAGTGAATTAATAATTGCAGTGAAATAAAGTGCTATATACGGTTTATTAAATTTAGTGGTAGTAAATAAGAGTGATAAAGTGTTACATAACCCAAAGAAAATTATGTAGCTGGTTCTAAATTTTAAAAATACCGCACTTTCTAGGCGCCTGTGGCACAAAAATAGCATTACGTCACGTGGTATAATTTCAACCTATAGAATTGCTCCACATTTATTGGACATCATAAATTATATTCGTAATGCTACAGTTATATTCCTTCGTCCATTTTTCTAATATTTGTATTTTAGTAACTGCGCTTTAAGCTCGTTATTTAATTTCTTTTTTATGCACGTTTTGACGAAAAAAGATATTAGTTTGATTTAACTCATTCTTGACCCTTGTAATAGGTGGCGCTATGAGCAACGATTTTTACAACGTCAGTCTATGAAAAAATGACGGCTGGATTAGATACGTGTTCGTGTAGTTTATGATATTTACGAGAAAAAGTATTTGCTTAGTACAAAATTTAGTCTTTATTTTATAAATTAAGGTTAAGGCTTTTTTATTTAAGTGAATTATTAGAGGAGACAACACCCTCTCATGTGTTACAAAATTTGGTGAGTTTGCAATGGTTAAGTCAAACGGTGCAAAGTATATAGGAAATCGCTCGTTATCCTTTTTAGTTCCTGTCCTATATTTAATTCTTCAAACATTCAAATCGTCTACAAGTGTGTTTATTGTTTAATATATGTAGCGCAACCCAAAGTAAAAAACTTATCATAAAAATAAATTTCGGAGATAGGCAAAACTTAAAAGAGGTTAAATAATTTAATACGCATAAACCTAAATTGATACCATTTTCCAAAAAAAAAAGCAACTACGCAAGTAAAAAAACAATGGCAACATAACCTACAAAGCCTTCAATCGAGTAGACAATGATGACTTGTCATTTCTAACCTAAATTCTTTTACATTTTAGAACTGACGGCAACGTAGAAATTCCACCATGGAGGACGCTCACACGAAATCCGTGGATGAAGTCTTAGGATACTTTGGCACAGATCCAGATAAAGGCCTGACTCCTGATCAAATTAAGAGGAACCAAGACAAATATGGGCCAAATGGTAAGTTCTTTGTTTACTTCATATTATTGCGTTCTTTTATAGAATAAACCACTCAGAGCAGATTAGTTATGTTATCTGATGTTTTATATGTCAGGAGTAATGTGATTTTTTGTCTTATTAGTAAAATTGAGTTGTAAACAATAAAGAAACCATTAAGGTTAAATTAACACTAACCTGCTAACTAATGACCTTACAATAGCTTACAGAAGTATTTTAATTCTCTTAATTACTCAAATTCACATGTTTACTTTGATGAGTTTTTGGAAAACTCTCCATCGGATTGTTATGACCATTACTAAGGATACATTATAAGTAAAAATAGCAGTTTACTTCTGAAGCAAACTCTTTTACACTTAAAGAAAGAGTTTTAAGTAAAATATTGTTTAAGTGGTAAAGAAAAATACAATTTAGGTGTAAAAAATGTGGCCGACGGATATAACATTGACCTCGGATATTCATAGACATAATTTTTTTTAAACACAATTATAAATTGAGTTAAACACTATTTAAATAAAAACCTTAAGATGATAAGTTTTTAATACAATAAACATTGTTTCTTTTATGTCCTTCATATCTTACAAATATTATAAAAAGGAATGTTTAGATGGAGGGATGGATAAATGTTTGTTACAAGGTATCTACAATGAAGAACACATAGGCTACTGATTGTTTCTTTTTTTAATCCCACTCTGATGGAGATTGTGGGCAACAGCTAGTTCCTTATAAAAGATAATAAGTTACATTTTGTTAATAATCTTTTATTTCAACTTTTAGGTTGCTTATTTTTCTGCATATCATTAATTTAGTTAGTACATGTTTGTGTGTCTGTTCCTCACTGCCCTGAAAGGAAATCACATTATTCCCTTGAATGTAATGTTGGTACAGCCCGTCAGTTGTATATCTTGTTCAAGTGAATTTCTAAACAAGCACAATATCTTCTATTTTGCCTTTTGTAGGTAAATCATGTTTTTCATTTGCACTATTCAAAAAAATTTAATTTTAATTCTAGGAAACCAATATGTTTATTTGAATTTTCTTTCTTATCGAAAATAGTTTTTTAAAGTAATTCAAGTTGTCTGCAGTAATGAAAATTTTTGGATATCTCATTGTTGCAATTTTCCTGTAATCTCCTGTCTTGCCCAGCCGCATTGTGGAATGGTCTATCCTCAGTGGTAATTCCAAACCAGTGTGACTTAGGGACCTCAAAGTAAGCATCACTCTTCTTCAAAAGTCAACAATGCATCTGACGTTCCTCTAGTGTTGTGGGCGTTGTTCAGCTCAGTACTCCCGCTGCTAGTTTGCCTCCAACTCTGATTTAAAAAAAATTGATCATAATATTAGTTTCATTATATTCTCACTAATGGACATAATATATCTAATTTTAAAAGTCGTTTTCCTATTAGTCTTACTTTACATTAAATTTGATACTTTAAATTTTCTTTGAAACCTTCCGTAGCTTATCCAACCAACAAATAACTTTTCTTCCTCTCTTTTATTTCATATTTCAAAAATTTTATTTGTATATTATAGCTAAGTAATTCAATAGGAAAATTTGCGATCGCTAGGTTTTATTGCTGTTGTATGCCAAGCAATTATGAGGACAGGACATTTTTATTGAACTCCCGTTCTCTAATGCCATTTTTTCAGACCAACTTTTATGAGCTGTCTCTATTTCCATCAGCAAATAATTCATCTTTGTAAATGAATTCATGTCGTAAGAAAAAAATGTATTGTCTATGGATTTTCGTAAAAAAAAAATAGACGGGTTTATTTATAGCACGTCGATAAGTGGGCGTCAATAGTCCGTGTGCCCTTGCTCCTTGGAGCGTGCACGGGGCGCCAATACCTATCACCTCGACACCCCTTACACCTCGCTTATTTATAAAACCTCTCAACTATATTATGTGAAAAACAGACAATTTATTACCACTCTCGTCGGTCAGTCGCTTATTACAAATTACTAAATCTAAATTAAAAATGGTTGGGCACTGTGAGTTGAAATTATTATGAAAAAGGAGATCGGACGAAAATATTAACGACTAATAAAAGAATCGTAAATATTGTATTTAATTCATTTTAGCAATTAATTTACCGTTAATAAATTGTTATTACCCCACTTTAGGTTTCAACTACAAAAGGGGATTTGTATCCCTTTCGTTCTCTTAAGAATAAACAGAGATAACAAAATATTTATGTAGGGGAATCTATGGTAAGGTGACCGTTCCGCTGATTTCGTGTTCTTTTAGTAAATATAAATTAAAAAAAAAAACTCAGGAAAGATTCTTAGCTTCACTAATTCTTTTTGCTTAGGGCTTTATTAAAATTTTAAACTTCGATATTGCCTGATTTTTAGAATGATTTAGGATTGTGAATGTATAGAGCCAAAAGAGATGTACCAAGGATGACCTACATTCTATGTAGGAAATCTATAATCTTTATCTATGCTTATCTCTTTAGGTCACGAACCTACATACTATGCCTAAAACATCACTATAGATACGTTTCCTTTTTTATGTGTGAATGTTAATCGACATAATTACAGAGACACGATGAAATTTCTCTGTAGAAAGTAATTCATGATTAACTCCCTAAGATATATTGTTGTCCTTGTTTATCCCCATTAGAATGAGCAAGACGATATGTTTTTTGACAGTGGAAAGACAAAGTAATTATTAGTTTTTAGTGAAATAAAAATCTTAAACACACTGTCATAAAATCATCATCTCAGTTTGGAGATGTCTCTGTGAAAAATAAACGTTATTTTATGCAAGTCAAATATTTGCGGAGAAAATAAAACTGCGCGTGAACGCAAACAAGATATTAAAATGCAACTGTGATAAAAAACTGACGCCTCGGCTTGCATTACCAATGTGTAAACTTAAGTTTGTTACTAAACGCTCTGTTTAATAAACGATAAGCTAAATCTTAAGAACAACTACGATAACAGACTCCGTTCCCAGTCATCTTTTATATCGTATACGTTACTTTAAAGTTGGTTAAACTCTACAAAATCGCTAATTAGCAGTGAGTTAATGACAAGTTGAACAGTATCTTACCGCGCCACGTCGTACGGATTTGTGCTTACATTCCAGTAATAACTTTGAAAATTGAATTTCTTTTAAGTGATAATGATTTTTCCAAGAATAGTAGAATAAATAGGACTAGTAGACTCCTTCTCATCGTGTGGTCTTCCTTATCCTATGTGATGCGATGCACCGGCGGAATTACAAAAAAATCGTAATTAGTGTTGTTCTATGTGTTATTCTAGGCTATGTTCTAAATCTATGCCAGATCCATGCAATCGTTCTAGAGATATCTTCTATCAAACATCCCATCGATCTATCCAAACTGTCGCATTTATAATAAGTAAGATTGTTAATTTGCTCTTTTTCCAATACTGTTATTTTTGGTTCTATGAATAAAATAAATCCCTACAGTGTATTTTCAGTTCAAACAGACGTCCGCTATTGATCTATGAATAATTAGACACCAAAACTGTTAATATCGATGTTTATTTACAACAGCAGTAGCATTAGATGTCTGATAGTTTGCATCGGCACATCGCGTTCGCGTCACTTCGCCACCGAGCCGGTCACAATACGGAACACTTCAAACCAGAATAGATTCGGCCGAAACAAACCGCTCCCAGATCAATATCCCGACGCTTTGATGTTGAACGCCGAACATTCGACTGTTTACATATTAACTCCCTTAATGCAATCATATTAACATACTTTTTCACATTCATTAAGCATTTGAAAGCTTTAAACGTTAAATTAAATAACGCTGTGAATTGAAATTTTACAACAAATAATTTTAGCTTAGGGAATATTTTTTTTTTTTAATTTGGGCAACCTACTTCTATAAGCGAGAAATATGTAGCAGTCCCTTGGACTCTCTTTTATCCAAGTTTGACTGTATGTCGACCATGAAGATGTTCAATGGAAATTTATCAATGTTGTATTTCCTATGTTTTTGTATACGAACGACGATCGCTAAACTTCGAAATACATCGACCCTGTAACTATGGATTTTAGTTGATCATAGTTAAATGCTTTAAAACGTTTTCTCTGTAGCGCACAGGTTTGTTAAATACTGTTATTTATATCAACAATTTATGTTTTAGTAACAAGTGCAAAAATATAACGCTTTGTTACTTTATTAAACAAACTTTCATATAAATTAGTGAATTTTACAATTATAAACAATATATATTTTGTAGTGAATTATAACTGAAAATTGGCTAACAACTGGTAGTTTTTAATTTATATAACAGCTGTTATTGGCCATGTGTTCTTTGAGTTGTCGAACGCGATATGCGCGATAAGTTATTCTTCGCCTCTGAATCACTACACGTTTACATACTAATTGTATGCAAGTATGTAATTTTATTACTACGGTTATTTTAAATATAATTATTGAATGAACACGTTATTAGAACAATGTATGCCTTTATTACTCTTTAAGACTATTACTAAAACATCATTAGGGAAAAGTAATAGACTAAGCTAAATAATTTGCACAACGGTAAAGTTTTGGTACGCTCTAGTTTCCGAAGATGAGGTTTCTAGGTGAAGACCATCATAATTTTTTGCATATTTGCAATAAGTTGTGCTTTACATAAGGTCTACAATGTTTAGTATTGCTCCACACACCCCTATAATAATAATATTACTATTTTAGCCTATCTTTGAAGTATCACAGATAGTAACAAGATGTTATGCAAGTAGTGACCTGTACAAGATAATAAGGTATATCGAGGATGTCGGACAATTGATGTGCATTAAAAATTGTTAGAGCTGTAGGTAGTGGTTGAGAAGTGCGAGAGTGCATTAAGCAGTTAATGGGCAGTGCTCTGAGCGTTGAGGAGCGTGCAGGAGGCGCCCGGGAATGTTGACGCGCGGTGAGCTCAGCGTACAGACTAAAATATAATATAGATGGCCACCAGCGGCCGGTTTATTTTGGACTGCCGACGTTGGCGGCTTGCGTCTACAAATGCGGCAGACGCGCTATCTTCTACCACTATTATATATTTATTTAATAAATATTCTCATAGCCAACGATTATTTCAGCGCTCCCCGAGCTTCAATTGATTTTATTTATTCCGTTCTCAAATTTAATAAGTCACTTTATTATTGGCAGAAAGAATTAAATTTAGCAACTCGTTTGATCTGTTGGTAATAAATTAAACATAAAAGTGCAGTAGTGGGCACAAAATTTATTATTAATTATAATTATAATAGCTGTAGTAGTAGCTGCTCTTGTCTGGAAATATGTGTGGGAAGAAGAGGATGCAATTTACACGAACGCACATAAATCAAACTTGTGCTCACTTTTATTCTTTATGTGCAGTATTAGACTATATCTACATACAGCATACATACAACGTTAAACTGTTGAAGCTGAAAATAAAAAATAGCACAATATAATGGCATCCTGTCACGTTTAGAACGTTAAAACAGATAGCATTTGCCTACATTGATTAGGTTAAGAAGACGTGAGAACTTATTTATCAATCTAAGTGTCCAAGAACTCAAACTAATCGTATCTTTAAGCCAAAACTCCTAAGCATTTCATGAATTTTAAAACTAGAAGAAAAACAAGTAGTTTTATACACACTTTGATACATTTTTAAATAGCTCATTTGTTTGCAATGTAATTTATTCAGTCAAACAGTTCGCCGGCAAGGGCGCGCCGCGGCAAACTTTTAGTTCAATGTTATTACCGGCCACCTGTAGACGCGGTTACAACTAAATCGATTTCTTTCCTAATCCATTCCTCGTAAATTATATGCTCGAATTGAATAAACAATTGTCACACAACTAAAACATTCATCTAAACGAATCATTCCGTTTTAGAAACGATGTCTTCTCTTGATTATTTAAGGGCGCAACAGAAACGTTAACTGGATATAATCATCATATTGGAGATTTCTAAATAATCACCTGTTACCGTATTGTGACGCAAACGATCAGATGCCAACTGAATGTGTTATCGTTGCTTTGACTAATTGCTAACATTCGTCTCGGCGCGGCAGCGGCGGTCGGCCTCACTGTACGCAAATAGTCTATACGATTGACTTAGCGCACGTTGCCTGATTACACACGTCTATTGAGACCTAGAGAGGTAGCAGTTAAACCGTTTTATAAGGCCCCCGCGAACGTGATCGCCCGCGCCGCGCACGCCCGTAATGCGGACAAACATTTGCTAAACACGCGGAAATTAACGACGCAAACGTAATCCCATTGTTGATAATTACACACGAAATCTTCGTAGAACACGTATTTTCCGTATTCTATATCTATCTTACATTAAATCGATAGAAAATTTCAATTTATTTAATCTAAAGTAAATTTATACGTCAAGTTGCGATCGAATGAATCAAGTACAATACACTACGCTCATCCCGTATAGCACCTGGAGTAGATTTACAAAGTGTCGTGATTACGTCAAAGACATACACGTAGCGAGGTCAGTGTACAGAGTGCGTGTGGGTCACGCACGTCACGGACAGACGTGGCCCAATGTGGCCGCTGCTCGATTAATTAACATACAAAAACCACACGACACGTCAATATCCTTCTGAGAGCAACATCTTTATTCAAATAGCCGCTCGCCAAAGGTTGAGAAAGAGACGTCCTGTTGCCCTTGACGATATCGTACATGTTTACTCTAACACAAACCACATCGTAACTAAATTCAACAAAAAATTAACACATTAACACAAATGTCTTATCTGTTTAGATAAATCATGTATTTAATTAATTCCTTTGTTTTAACATTTATACAAATTATGTAAAATCAAAACGGAAAATATATGGTAATAGAAATATCAAGTGTGTAGATAAGTCAGTGTCGACAACACTCTAATATTATATTATTTGTACAACAACGAATCTCAAGATTATTCAAAGTACACGAGACCATTCAATACGTCACAAAATACGTAGCGTTCGCTGTCGATACAAAGAGGTTTACTAATGATGTCATAACCGCTGTATTGTTAGAATCTTGTAACTTTGAAGGCAGTAGATGTTATTCAGCATATACAAATGTAGTCAATGTACGTGTATTTATGTGAGAGCGTAACTGCCGAGATAGATTGCATGCATGCTCTGACTGGTTTATCGTCTCTAAAATTTATTCCTTTGATGTTTTATTCAAACCTCTAATTACGGTGCTTTTCTGTTTTCAGAACTGCCTGCTGAAGAAGGTAAGCGAGATAATCATTTCACATATCGATTTGCGTTACACTAAAGATTACAATCCCCCCACGTCCATCCGCTTTTCGCTCTAAAAGTAGTGTAACAAGTAATATTTCTAGAGCAAAATTTAAAATTGTAATTTTACATTCATGGTATAAATGTTTCTATCCTTGTAGTCATATCTTTCAAGTCAATAACTCACGTGGTATTAAATAACAAATAAATATCAGCAACGCACAATTTAATATCCACTAAATCAGATATCAGTTTATTTATAGTATGTTTCAATTACATAGCTACCAAGTTTACGGTTTGTGGAGCGTTACAATTACATAATATCTTGACCTGATTTAATTTTCCGCTCTCATCGACGATTACGTCAACTTAGAAGCCTTCTAAACGTCTTCTTTAACCACCAAGACTCCGATTTATATTTTATAAATAATTTTAATTCATAGGCAAAAGTATATGGCAGCTAGTTCTGGAGCAATTCGATGACCTCTTAGTGAAGATTTTGTTGTTAGCCGCTATTATTTCCTTCGTAAGTATTAACGAGAACACTAAATTGTGCATATGTATTTAAACGTTTTTTCAACATGATCTATAAAGTTATATTTTTCTTCTAGGTTTTAGCTTTATTTGAAGAACACGAAGACGCATTCTCAGCCTTCGTAGAACCATTCGTTATTTTATTAATTCTTATTGCTAACGCTGTTGTAGGAGTATGGCAGGTGAGATATTTATAATATACTTTAATGAAATAAGGTTCAATTAAATATTCGATTGTATTTTTGTAGGTTGCAAGTTCTAATATATTGAAATCTTTCCAGGAACGAAACGCAGAATCTGCCATCGAAGCGTTAAAAGAATACGAACCCGAAATGGGTAAAGTTGTTAGAGGAGATAAATCCGGCGTACAGAAAATCCGAGCAAAGGAAATCGTGCCCGGCGATATTGTTGAAGTATCCGTCGGTGACAAAATTCCCGCCGATATCCGCCTTATCAAAATCTATTCCACCACCATCCGTATCGACCAGTCTATCCTGACTGGTGAATCGGTCTCCGTCATTAAACACACGGATGCCATTCCAGACCCCCGCGCTGTAAATCAGGACAAGAAGAACATCCTTTTCTCTGGTACAAATGTCGCTGCTGGTAAAGCCCGCGGTATCGTTATCGGTACCGGCCTCAACACTGCCATCGGTAAGATCCGCACAGAAATGTCGGAGACCGAGGAGATCAAGACACCGCTGCAGCAAAAACTCGATGAGTTCGGCGAGCAGTTGTCTAAAGTCATCTCCGTCATCTGCGTTGCCGTCTGGGCTATCAACATCGGACACTTCAACGACCCCGCCCATGGTGGAAGCTGGATTAAGGGTGCTGTGTACTACTTCAAAATTGCCGTCGCTCTGGCCGTCGCCGCCATTCCTGAGGGTCTGCCCGCTGTGATCACCACTTGTCTCGCCTTGGGTACGAGAAGAATGGCCAAGAAGAACGCCATCGTCAGATCCCTGCCCTCCGTGGAAACCCTGGGTTGCACATCCGTTATCTGCTCAGACAAGACCGGTACATTGACAACTAACCAAATGTCCGTTTCCCGTATGTTCATCTTCGAGAAAATTGAGGGCGGTGACAGCAACTTCCTAGAGTTCGAGATCACCGGATCCACCTACGAGCCCATCGGCGACGTTTACCTGAAAGGACAAAAAGTTAAAGCCTCCGAATTCGATGCTCTCCATGAATTGGCCACTATTTGCGTTATGTGCAATGACTCCGCTATCGATTTCAACGAATTCAAGCAAGCCTTCGAGAAAGTAGGCGAGGCCACCGAGACCGCCCTTATCGTGCTCGCCGAGAAGATGAATCCCTTCAACGTCCCCAAGACCGGCCTCGACCGCCGCTCGTCAGCCATCGTCGTCCGCCAGGAGATCGAAACCAAATGGAAGAAGGAGTTCACCCTCGAATTCTCTCGTGACAGGAAATCTATGTCGACATACTGCACACCCCTCAAGCCTTCCCGTCTCGGCAATGGACCCAAACTCTTCGTTAAGGGAGCGCCCGAAGGCGTGCTCGACCGTTGCAGTCACGCTCGTGTCGGAACTAACAAGGTGGCTCTTAGCAGCACCCTGAAGAACCGCATCCTGGAACTCACCCGTCAATACGGTACCGGCCGCGACACTCTGCGCTGCCTCGCCCTCGCCACCGCCGACAACCCGATGAAACCCGACGACATGGACCTCGGCGACTCCTCCAAATTCTACACCTACGAAGTCAACCTCACCTTCGTCGGTGTCGTGGGCATGTTGGACCCTCCTCGCAAGGAAGTGTTCGACTCTATCGTCCGTTGCCGCGCCGCTGGTATCCGTGTAATCGTCATCACCGGTGACAACAAGGCCACCGCTGAGGCTATCTGCAGGTAACGATATCGCAATTTACCTATTACTAATTTCTATTTATAAGGTCGATGTAAGTTACATTTTCCTTTTTGTAGACGTATCGGTGTGTTCGGAGAGGATGAGGATACTTTCGGTAAATCTTACTCTGGACGCGAGTTTGACGACTTGCCCGTGTCGGAGCAGCGCGCAGCGTGCGCCAAGGCTCGCCTCTTCTCCCGTGTAGAACCTGCGCATAAATCCAAGATCGTTGAATACCTGCAGAGCATGAACGAAATCTCCGCTATGGTGAGTACCACAAAAATATGACATTGTGTCATCGACCGAATGATAACATTAAATATTAGTGCATTACAGTGTTGAGAACTTGGTATTTACACCACACTACATTGTACAACATAAATATAAAGACCCGTTATCAGTTAATCGTTCCTTAATACGTTTTATTTTTACTCTAAAACATTTTACGATTAAAAGACACATCAATAACTTAATATCAATAAACGATAAGGTAAACATAATCGTCCAGATTGTATTGACTTTTTAAATATCATTAATGTAGAGGAATCAAATTTATGTTATCCATATTACCCTTGTGTAGAAAACATCAAAGAGAAATCTGACTTAATGATTCTGAGCAACTAATGGAAAATAAATATAGATTATACAAAACGTAATTCACAACACAATTTCGTTCGTATGATATTTATGCATCGAATAAATTTCTCAATATTTATTGCACTGCCAACAATATTTTTAGGTGGGAGTATTGGCTGGTGTTATTTGATGTTTACATATTATAGCAACCGTTGAGAATGCTTTCCAAATTGTTTACGCGAGTCGGCGAGCCGGCCGGTACTGTTTATAAACTGTTGCAGTCGCTTCTATCAAGACATTATTCTCTATTACGATAACACAACATTTACTTAAATGCCCTAATATTAAGATATTGTTATTATAAAATTGTCATCCCGAACAAATTTATGATACGAATCAACAATTTAAACGGTTCCACTTGATTGATATTTTAACGTATAATGTCGTCTTAACATCCTACCAAAATGTCATTAAAACCAGTCTTGTCGTTTAGAAACGCACAGAATACAAACAAATATAGATTTATTTATACAGAAGATTTAAAGTAAGCGTAAAATGTTACCCACTAAAACCACTTTGGTAGCAATCTTTACTCGGAGGTGCGACTGGCGAGGCTCGGGGATCTCCGGTAGAACGAAACGTTGCAAAACATAACTAAACGTATCCAATGCTATTTCAGACTGGTGACGGTGTGAATGATGCGCCCGCGCTGAAGAAGGCCGAGATCGGTATTGCTATGGGTTCAGGAACCGCCGTCGCCAAATCCGCCGCTGAGATGGTGCTCGCTGACGACAACTTCTCATCCATCGTTGCTGCCGTTGAGGAAGGTATGCCAATTTACAATCATACAAGAATAACTTGTAATATTTTCCATAATTCCGTTAAGTATTATAAAAAACATATGATTTACTTTATATCCACATATCTCACCATATGTAGAATGTTGTTTTAAAAAAATGATTGTTAAGATAAAATATTATCATCAGCACGAAGTCATCAAATAAGACATGATATTAAACTGTTCATTAGAATGTTTGAAATACTAAATATCCGCAATGACCAGGTCGTGCTATCTACAACAACATGAAGCAGTTCATCCGCTACCTGATCTCCTCCAACATCGGTGAGGTGGTGTCCATCTTCTTGACCGCGGCGCTCGGTCTGCCCGAAGCTCTGATCCCTGTACAGCTGCTGTGGGTCAACCTGGTCACTGACGGTCTGCCCGCCACCGCCCTCGGCTTCAACCCCCCTGACCTCGACATCATGGACAAGCCCCCGCGCAAGGCTGACGAGGGTCTCATCTCTGGATGGTTGTTCTTCAGGTTTGTCTTCTACTCTGTTTTGTATGAAGAAAATAATGTAAAAAATCTATGTTTATGTTATATTTAGTTGGTTGTAAGAAATGAGTAATGAATTTGAAAAGACTTGTAGAAAAAGTTTGTGACTTTTTAAATATTATCGTTTGTCGCGTTAACTATTTTCTTATATTACACAAAGAATAAAAAAATATATGAATGTTGTATAACTTGAACCGAGATCATTATCTACGTAACATGGTTACGACACAACTTTCAAGTATTACATAAAATTAACAACTGAAGTGTCAGTATATAAAATATCTCTAAATAAATTGAAGCTTGAAGATTTAACTCAATTGATACAGACTTATTCTATCTCGTTATTGAAATTATTTCTTTTTATTTTCCTACTTTGATTTTCTGATTTGAAAAATTCTTGACAATTGCTATACCAACCTCGCTCCTTCAAATTTTGTTGGTACAATTGACATGTTGGTGACATAACCAGGTACATGGCAATCGGAGGCTACGTCGGTATGGCGACAGTCGGCGCGGCTTCCTGGTGGTTCATGTACTCCCCGTACGGACCTCAGATGACCTACTGGCAGCTCACTCACCACCTGCAGTGCCTCAGCGGAGGAGATGAATTCAAGGTAACATCTCTAATTATCAGTCTTTAGTATTTATTAACTACAATCAATTGATTTATATGTAATCTTATGTTTTGATTATTCTAAAAATCCTTATAATGTGAAACTTTGTATTTATTACAGTTATGTGTAACATAAGTCTAGCACAGTCAGTGTTACATTGTCAGTTGTTGTGGTTTGTATGTATTTATGTAATTTGTTATTGAAAATTTGTATTATGAATGTTGCAGGGCATCGACTGCAAGATCTTCACAGACCCCCACCCAATGACAATGGCGCTGTCCGTGCTGGTGACAATTGAGATGTTGAACGCAATGAACAGTCTCTCTGAAAACCAGTCCCTGGTGACGATGCCGCCCTGGTCCAACATGTGGCTCGTCGGCTCCATGGCGCTGTCCTTCACCCTGCACTTCGTTATTCTATACGTCGAGGTCCTCTCGGTGAGTCACTTTATCAAATAGTGAGCCTGCAAATCTTAGCATTGTAATAGCCACTTTCATGTTTTACATAACTCAAAATCATATAAACAAACAAAAATGCCTCAAGGAAGGCAAAAACTGTAATAAATTCTTGTATTAATTATCCACTTGAAATAAAAGTAACAAATATATGTGTTGTGTGCGCGTGCGCAGGCGGTGTTCCAAGTGACCCCGCTGTCGGTGGACGAGTGGGTGACGGTGATGAAGTTCTCCATCCCCGTGGTGCTGCTGGACGAGGTGCTCAAGTTCGTCGCGCGCAAGATCTCCGACGGTAATGCGAGCTCGCTGCAGCACTGGCTCGACGGCATGCAATGGATTGTGCTCATGTGGGCCGTCTTCTTTGGCATCATCCTCTACGGACCCATATAAGCTGGCCCGCCCTCACCGCCGTGACGTCACCGACCCCCCCAAACCCGTTTGATTCATAACTTAATACCCCCCTACCCACCCCCATTTCTGCGCTACCCACTTACCATTGTTTGTTTCATACCAAACACTGTTTATTGCAACATGAGATTTATCACAAAATTGTCTAAAATTAATTTTAATCGTCGCAACAGATTGTTTAAAGATTTTACGTTATTATTTTGATATATTATTATTTTGTTGAAAAATTTCAACGCGTTATTTATTATTTATAATTTTTATTACTGGAAATATTGTCAGTACAGTTATTTTAGACATGACCGCAAACATAAACTTATAACGGCCATTATTACCTTATGACAATGTTACACAATTATTTAAAAAAATATGTGTTTGTGTGATATCTCATGTTGTATAGGTATATGTGTGTGAGAGTGAGTGGGTGGGTGGCGCGGAAGCCGCTGTGGAAACCAAGGAACTATGAGCGCGGCTCACCACAGCATCTAACCGTTTGAATGCTAATCCCGGAGCACAAGTGTGTGAAGTGATGTTAGTGCACGTGTTCGCGTTTGGACCACTGAGGAGCGCGGCGATACAGCGACAGAACATTGTAATGGCGGTGCTACTTGATACGACAGCGCTCGCGACGGCGCTCATACAACCTCTAACTTAAGTTTTGTAGCGGTCTCTCATAGATTTATATCTAACTGAGGTTTGCATTTTGCTCGTGCGAGACAATAAATTAATTTTCTTAAAACTTCATAGCCCTTGTACTATGTTATCTTTCGTGTATATAACGCGATGAGCGGCTGTGAAGACCATCCTATTATACGGAACATCAAATTTTCTATTGGTTATAACAAGGTTTATTAAAGGCTGTAAGTTTACAAATGTTATTTAATGAGTTTCTTTAGACGATGAAATGTTTGTCTAATTCTACTGTAACAAACTCGCACACAGCTCAGTACCTTGTCCTTGTGGACTGCAGACATATTTAACTTACTTTTAATAAAGATTTCAATGCATATATAATATGAACACTATGACATCAGAAATCTTATTAAAAAAGATCAATTGTCATGACTTCATGATGAGGAAAGAGTTGTCATTCGTCAACTAAATGTCAATGCGATGCCATATTTTTCTAATGAATTAATAATAGCAGTTAATTAAAAAAAATTAAAAGCGTTGAAAATATAAAAACAATATTGAACGTACCTTCTACAAGTTTTAACAGAAATTGGCCAATATTACCATTGCATGACCGTTTGAATTCAAGTTGGTTGCACAAAACAGAACAACCATAGAGTAAATTTTTGATTTAATTTATAACAACAGCCTATATATGTATTGAAGTCTTTGTACTATACCTAGTAATGTGCATTGTTAGCATATAGTAATTTATTGTAAGTGTATGGTTAGGCTCAGCGGTTACTTTTTTTACTTTATTTTTTTTCTACAATTTTCTGCTTCTCGTGTCCTTTTACTTGTGGTCGCTTGTTAACATACCAGAATGCACTTTATTCCATTTTTTTTTCTCATCGCCTTTTTCTGAACGGACAGTGTTCTGCGAATGCTGGTTTGTATGCCTAATTCTAACTTTTGTTTTTTTTTTTGACTAATTTAATGAATGTGTTATGCGTTATAACTTATGTACATTGTTCGGAACATTTGCAAATAAATCTGTGTCTCGTTATTTTTTAAAATTCTTACAATTTAGCCGTGTTCTATATATTATAATTGTGGAATATTTAATGGAGTAATTTATGGAAGCAATATACTTAGTCATTGTACAAACACAATAACGAATAGTTAATCTTTTTATAGATTTGTTCTATAAAGAAAAAAAATATAATAGTTAAAAATATTCGGTAGCGTTGGGAATAATCACTACAACTTAATTGGACTTAGAAAAATTTAATCAATGGAGACATAATATTATCGTAAGTTTTACAAAATTGTAACAACTTAATTTGTCCGTTTTATTTAGAGTTAAGGTACAAGTCCGTACATACATAAGTCTTTTTTTTAATGATAAGATTGTGCATGTTTGAGATGCATGCTCTCTCAGAGAGAGTGCAGTTTATTTGATTGGATTTGATTTGAGACAAATAATGTTTAAGATAAATATTAATGTATGTAATTATAAAGTTACATTGAAGCCATCGAACACACATACACATACACCGACACTGCACAATGAAGGGCATGCTCAAAATTTGTTATGAACATCCTCTACCCCTCCGACTCTCGTATACCAAAATGTAGTGAACACAAACAGTTAAACATCCTCCCTTTGATTTACGTTAATTAAACTATCGAACCAAACGTTTGTTATTTTCCTTTTTTTCACAATATAAAACAACCTTCCATTCTATTTTTAAATGACATGCACACTCCTCGATTTGGAAAAAAAACAGGTATGAATTCCGCACAATTTACTAACCTTTATGTTGTTTTATTTTTCCTGCTAACACTACTAAAAAGTTTTGCAAGCTTAATGATAAATTGCTATTTGATATCTTAATTCGATTTATATGAAAAATACGTAATGTACGTATATATAAAAATGAAAAAAATTAATAAATTGGTTTATATAAAACGACACCAAATAAAACGAAACATTGTTCACTTGGAAAGTGTAGGCAATCGTTTCGCTCTATTCGGGCAGTCGTGTTGCAAAACTTATCAAATGGGCACAAATTGGGGACGAGTGCCTCCCTCCCCCTCCTGTCTCCGTCCCGCATGCACTAACGTGGTGTTGTCTGCCCCCCAGCCCAGCCGACGTGGAAGCTGTAAGCGCCGGGAGTCGCCGTAGCACCGCACGCATATATTCCATGAACACTCATTGTTTGTTGTGATCCCGCAGTGAAAAACTACACATAAAATATAACTCGGAGACTTTCGTGATCTCTCCGCACAGAGTAAGTTCGGTTGGCGGCGTTCGAGCGTGCACCACACTAACGGTAACATTGTTTTACAGCGAACGAGGTGGTCGTTGACAAGTGGTAACCGACCCACCATCGATCGATCAGTACATAGTCCCTCTGCCACTCGGACCGCCCCCGACTCCCGATATTACCATTGGCTTTTAGTTTCTGCGAAAGTTGACTCGGGAGCCCGCCGCCGCAGCTGCGATCACCAGAGCGGACGTGTTCATAACGTGTATATACAGTATACTTAGGAGGTTTAATCAATCGTTTTTGTTAAATTACGTTGTTTTTTCAAAGACTACATGGTGCCCGTCGACAGAAGCAGTGCGATAAACTATTGTGTACTTAAGTTGACAGCATGCTATTAATTTATTATTATATTTTTATGTTATTTCTAGTTTGCTTATCTAGAGTCGAATCTATACTTCTATTAGTGCTGACGCCTCGACGAGCAATATGGTGTCTGTAAGGGAAGGATATACTTATTATCCAGTGTTCGGGACCCAATAGGTCCAAAAAATTAAACATACCTGTACATTTTAATGTATTATTGTTTTGTACAATAAATCGTTATAAAATTACTAGTGTTTTTTTAAAACTCAAACCCTATATCTTACTATTATGAATTGCGAATGTTTAGATAGATGTTTGAAGGTATCCTCAGAATGGCTGAACGGGTCTCGATGAAATTTGGCATACATATACAATATAGTCTAAGAGAACACTTAGGATAGTGTTTCTTTTTGTAATTCTGCGCGGGCGACAGCTAGTACATGTATAAATTACAGAACGTAAATACTATGAAATGATGATTCATAACAATGAATAATAGCTACTTGCTGCTATAAAATCAGTGTTTTAACATTTAGTTGAAAATAAATTAATACAATCAACGGTCCTAAAAATACTTGGAAATCTGTGAATAGCGCCATTTTTAAATATTATATTTCATCAACAGCGATGTTGTATGGACTAAGGTTCATAAAGAATTAATTTATTAAGAAATTGTTTTTATTCACTCAAATACCTATGCCCAGAAAAAAACAACAGTTTGACAGTTTAAAGCAACAGCTGTCAAAAAAAGCACTTTCTTATCAAACTGTCAAATTAGTTAACTGAGAGACTGTATAGAAACTTAAACTAGATAAAAAAGCCGAAAAGCTGCCAGATTCCTGTTACGGATAAATAGACGGTGAATTGAGATAGATCATGAAGTTAAGAGTGCTACAAATATGAATTGGGACGCATGGTAAAATGGTCAGCTTGTAAAAGCAGTAAATGTAACGTTAATTTTCAAATTGAGGTGTTGAATTATCAGGAAAATGAATTAAAGTCTGTAAATTTTATATAGACCTACTTTAAAAAGTATAAACTTAAATTGTTAAACTGAGATTCGACAATAAACATTTAGCATGGACTCTGAGCTGCCAAATAAAATGGCACACTTGGACATAATGGAAATTGATGAATCTGTCGCGGAGGAAGCAAATAATGAAGAAAATGTAACTGCTACAACTTCACGTGTTTTAAGGAAGAGAAAGTCATTAGCAATCGAGCCACCTAAACTTTCTAACCGTCGAGTTAGTATAAGACCTAGAAAACGTAATATTAAAGAAGATGCAAATCAAAAAGAAATTGAAGCTCTGTATCTTAACAAAAAAGTTAAAACATTATCTCAAACACTAGAGACAATTTATGAAGAGCCAAAAGTGAGTGCCTCTGGCTCAGAGACAAATATTCATGGCAGAAAAGTTAAAAGATTGCTAACATTTCAATTGGGCAGCCACTACACTAAAGAAAAAATAAAAAGGCGACGGGCAAAGATTAAAAAGCTTCTGGGCAATAAAACATTTTTAAATAGGAAAAAAATACCAATGCAAGTATTTCTTAAAACTATTGAATGTCTCGATCTGGATGAAGTCGTACATTCAGAGAGTAAAACTATTGAAGATGGACCCAACTCATGAACTGATCATCATAATTCTAAGATTAGCCTCATTTATAGGCATATTTTTAATTATATCTTAGTACTTATTTACTAAAAGCAATATGTAAGCTGTAATATTTGAATTTTGTGTAAACTGATCATGTGTTTAATTAGACAACCTAGTTTTATTTCCTTTCCACAAATAATTTCTCTTGAATTATGGTAATAACTATTAAATATAGTACAAATAATTTACTTGAGACAATGAAAGAGAATCTTTCATTTACATGTTATTTATTTCCCTTGTACTGCATAGATTTCATGCATCTGCATCAAAGCAGTGAAAATGCAAGTTGACGCACTATAGATTTATGAACAATCTTCTAAAAAGATTTAGAAAAAACATTTAGCAGCCTTAAACCTTATTTAATGGTCAGAAAAAATAAATACAAGTTACTCTTCATTACATCTGTATACTTTTAAACTTACTGTTGTAAAATATTACACAATAAATACTAAGTTTCTTATATATGTGAGAACATTAAAATGGAATGTTTAGGTATTAAATTTGCACATTGTTGCAGTATCAGGACAATCAGGATACTTCTTCAATAAATTTGTACTGTCACTTTCCATGTCATAGTTGACGCAAACACAACGTGGTTTCTCTTCACCAGGTGTAAAGAGTTGCCTTGGAACACCCACCCAGTTACGGGCAATACCACCACTGTGAAAAAAAACATAACATAAAAAATCCTATGTAATTCTACTTGATGTTATAAATGCTAATATAACTGTAGAACTTCACTTCTCTAAACTAAAACTTACACAGCAATGACTTACTTTACTTACTATACTTTAAGAATTGAGCATTTTTTTGGTCTTTTGTTCATAGTTAGATAAGCTTTAAGTTTCATCATCGGCTCATATTCGTCCCCACTGAGGGGCACGTTGCCTAACCTATATTAGGAGTGACTAGACCAGTCAACCATGCTGGCTCAGTCCGAGTTGGTTGACTTCACACATATCTTTGAATATCTTCTCAGATATGGTAGCATAACAATGTTTTCCTTCACCATAAGAATGTCAGATAAATGTACATGTGTAAATCAAAATATGCATTGGTACATGGCGGGATTCAAACCCAGGACCTGCAGATTGCAAGTCAAGTGTTAATTTTAATTATACAAAAATATTGTATAACCTTGTTTTAGTGCACCATACACGTGAACCCTCTTCTTCATTCCAAGCAATGTTACATGGAGGGTATTTGAGATTTTCTTTATCCTGATTCATTTTTTCCACCTTACATTCTTTTAATTTGCTCTTGAATTGTTTTAAGTAATTTGTTTCTGTACCATGTTCATCATAGTATCTTCCATTTAAAAATCCTGTAAAATGTGAACAGATTAAAAAACTAAGCAAAATTTTAATGATTCATATAAGTTAATACTTAATAACTTACCTACAAACTTATACTTTTTTCTATAGGTTTGTCGCCAATTAAGTAATGTAGATAAGTCATTACAAGACAAATCTAGTACATGATCTTTCATAGAGCTTTCATCCTTAAAATTTCCAGTAACAAGAGCTCTTGACCCATCTTTACCTGCAATGTTTGCTTTGTTATTTTATTATATTTTTTAATTTATCTAAGCAATGGAATTGTACTCTGAAAGTTTAACACCACAGTACAAATTACTTGAAGATTTAATTAAATTACAATACAGAAGATTATAATAATACAGGTAATTCGGTTAGTGTTTTTATAATAACAACACAATTTTACAAACCAACGAAATAATGGTAAGAGGAGCCTTGATCATAATGTTTTCTACCATCTGTCACATCAAAAACTTGTCCAAGCACAGCCAAATAAAGCTTGTCTTGGATATGTCCATTATACTGGGTCAGCTGTTCTTGTGAGAACACCAGTCGATGACCTTTCTGTTTAGTGGTAATATGTTGTAGTTCTTCATATTTTTTGTACAACAAAACGCCTAGTATAATTACTATTATAGATACTAAAACTTTAATGTTCCCACGGAAACAACTATAGATCCCCATTGTTTATCTCAAATACTAGGAAACACATCCTTAAATATTTAACTTATTCTAAAAGTGGTGAAAGTAGAAGTTCAAATTCAATAAAATTACACAAAAAAAATCAAATGACAGTGACAGGTGACATATCAATAAAAATATTTATTCATGCAGAATATGTAAGAAGCAATTTGATCAATGGTGTTTTTATATTTATTCCCACCATCAAAAAACAAAATAATAATGAGAAATATGCATATTTAGGTATAAGAGATGGTACACCACCATATTTAATTTATAAGAATACATCAAAGCATAAACTATTAAAGACATTGTAATAGTGACCTCAGTTGCCTTTGCCTATGTTCTTGGACATGAATGACGACATTGAATTGACATGACATGACCAAACCAAAACAGAAATAATAATAGTTATAAACTAACCAAACTTTCATTAACTCGCAACCGTTTTAATGCGATTAATATAAATCAAATTCCTAGGCTAAGATTCCTCCTAAGTTTTATGTTTATAGCATATACATTTTAATAAGAGACAATCTCAATAAAGTTAATCTCCTCAATTTTATATCAACAAATGAATTAAATGAGCAATATCATCTATTCCAGAATCAATACAATGAAATTAGTACAACAAGTTAGGTACTTAACAAAATATCAATCACAAAGGCGTGTTGTAGTTTCCGGTTTAGGTGTCGTTTCTCCTATTGGAACTGGAACCAAAATAGTTTGGGACAATCTATTGAAAGGACATTGCGGTATTGTGTGTCTTCAGGAGGAAGATTACAAAAAACTGCCCTGTAGAATAGCTGGATTGATTTCAAAACAAGATGATGACGTCCAAAAAGCATTGTCGAAGGCTAACTTAAAGTCTATGGCGCCAGCTACATGTCTGGCACTTGTAGCTACAGCCGAGGCATTAGTTGATGCAAAATGGTTTCCTGAATGTGATAGGGAAAAAGAAATGACAGGAGTAGCTTTAGGAATGGGAATGATAGATCTAAAGGATGTTTGTGATACAAATGAGGCATTAAAAATAGGCTATAATAAAGTAAGTCCTTTTTTTGTTCCGAGAATCTTACCAAATATGGCAGCTGGTCAAATAAGTATAAAGTATGGTTTTCGTGGGCCAAACCATTCAGTATCGACAGCTTGTGCTACTGGAGCACATTCAATAGGAGATGCATATAGATTTATTAAATATGGAGATGCTGATGTTATGGTATGTGGTGGAGCTGAATCCTGTATAAGTCCTTTGGCTATTGCTGGGTTTTGTCGCTTGCGAGCACTAAGCACTTCATTTAATGATGAACCTGAAAAAGCATCTAGGCCTTTTGACCAAAAGCGTGATGGTTTTGTAATGGGAGAAGGAGCAGCAGTGCTAGTCTTAGAAGAGTATGAACATGCATTAAGAAGAAATGCTAAAATATATGCTGAAATTTTAGGTTATGGTTTGTCTGGTGATGGGTCTCATATAACAGCCCCCAGAGAGGATGGAAGTGGTGCAATGTTATCAATGGGAAGAGCTCTACAAGATGCCAATATTAGAAAAAATGAAATAACCTATGTTAATGCTCATGCCACATCCACACCAATAGGAGATGGCATTGAATCAACTGCTATAAAGAAACTTTTTGGTGGACACAGTTCTAAGATATCTGTGTCTTCTACGAAGGGGGCTCATGGGCATCTTCTTGGTGCCGCTGGGAATTTAGAGGCTGTTTTTACTATTTTGGCATGTCAACATGGTGTTATACCTCCTACATTGAATTTAGAAAACCCTGTTGATGATTTAAACTATGTTGCTAATGTCCCAGAAAAATGGCAAACGGAAAGGAGAGTTGCACTTAAAAATTCATTTGGATTTGGTGGCACCAATGCAACTCTTTGTATTGCACAAATATGAATGATTTTAAAATAATAAAAGAACTTGTTCAGAGTTATAATATATTAAAATTGAGTTACAAACTTTACCAACTGCTGTAATCCTGACAGTGAGGACAACTGAAGACCTTTTGATCATGATTTGAAGCTAAATAACAAAGAGCTAAAATAAATTCAATGTGTATTATGTAATATCAGTCACATAAAGCATTGAAAATTAAATAATTCAATTAAAAATGCTACTATATATTTCAATAAAAAGCATTCTAAGTTTTTATATTGTAAACATTTGTTAAATGCTGGTTGATCCAGTCAATTAATATCATATATAGATTCATTCAAACATGCACTTTGTTTCTATATAAAGACTACTCTATATTTTCCAGTCTAGTGACGACCTCTGTAAAGAGCCTAGCATTATATCTTCTATAAGCACCAATGTCTTTATCAAATAATGTTTGGTGTTAACAAAACCATTCAGATTATGCTAATTTCATTATTAGCATCATCAATAACATTTAACATGATTTCCTTTGATTATAATTTCAGAATAAATATAATTAAACAGTGTCTTATGTAATAAATTATAAAAATATTATAAAATATTCAAATTGTTTTATTTCGACCTATGATTAACACAGCATGCACACATGCTCAAAGTTGTATATTAAACAGACAACAGAAATATTAGAACAATTTATATGTCTATTTATCGGATATTATTTTTGGATGTGACACACATTTATAGTTTATTATCTACTGGTTTGGAAGCAATTACAGATTTATATCATTGTATTGTATACACAAATGTTTTAAAACGTGCAGTTTGAATGTGTCAGGTAACAAAGTTACACAGATTGCTTATCCGGTTTCTGTGTTATAAGAGGAGTGTTCGTTGGATTCACACAGAGCTGGGCAAATTTCTGACGTAAATTCTGTCTCAGCTCTTGTCTTTTTTCCGTTATGTTCCTACGTGATTTAAATTCTAGAACCTCTTCTATTGGTATGTAACTGGTGTCGTGTTCCTCATCCGATGAGCATGTGTCCTGTATGAAAAAAGAATCTCTTTAATAAACTAGTTTAGTAAAGAAAAAGACATTATTTGACAGACATTAACAACAAATATTACAAATATGAATGTGTGTTTCGTAGAATATTAATAACAGAATGATTAATTTTTTACTAACATTTTTATTTCGAAAATATACTCACCAACATCTCTTGAAGTGACAGAGTAAAACCAGTGCATAAAGATTTATCACTTTTGGCAATATCTGTACAGTCGCCTCTCTCGTGGTTACAAAATCCTTCGGAACATGCCACTTCAGAACCTTCCGGAGAACTCATAAGAGAAGATGAACCTGATAAAGTTTCACAGCAACCTCCGGTAGTAACTCCACCGCCCGATGCGTAACCGCAGTCGTGGGAGAGCTCGCTAGAAGTGAGTTCATTCTTTTTGTTCCTCTTGTTGCCAGATTTCTTGGGTGAGCCTATTTTTGTCGTAGTGTAGTCGTCTTGACACGATTGACAGCCATCCCCACTTGTCTCAAAACACTGATTATAGTCACGAGGTGAAAGCAGGTCGGTTGGAGTGTCCCTTTCTTCTAGTAGACATTCCTCACATTCACATTTCTCTTCTGGTTCTTCTGAATCAGCCTCCTAAATTAAAATGCAATATTTAATGATGAGCTAAACATGTAGTATATTGTATACTAAATGTTTATAACACTTCTAAATTTTATTAATTACATAACTTACCTTGCATTTGTTCTCGACAGCTTGCCTTTCTTTCTTCTTGCGTCGTTTTAGCTTTTTCTGTTCTTTTCTCTGCTGTCGAGTGAGTTCTTCCTGAGTTATTTCGTCGTAAAGTAACTGCAGTTTGGAGACGCCGCTCTTGAGTTCCACCGCTGTTTCGAATTTGCGATAGAGAGCTTCAATGCCGACCGCCGCTAACGTCTGACACGTGCCTTCTTCCTCTCTCAGCCGCAACGAGATACGTTGGAGACGTTCGTATATGCATATCCCAAGACAGATTAATACCTGATTGATAAATTTATGTTACATTGTCACCAAATCTATCATGGGACCATGCTCTTTGGTATTATCAAATAATTATCTGAACATTGTTTTTAACTTCAAAATCTAACTACACAAAATGTTAACAATATACAATACTTGCCTCTTCCTGTGCAATTTCCAATGTCTTTGCATGCCTTTCTCTATGATTACCCAGTAACTCTGGCTCGGCACGGGCTATGAGATACGCTATGTAGTCAGTCTTGGCCTGCAAGTGAAGGTGCTTGTCCAGGAGACATCTCTTGATGCCACCATAAAGTGCCCCCACATACCCTTTCTCCTTATGTGGCTCCTTTTCCTCAACAAGTAACTGATAAGCCCTTAAAACCTGCAGATTTTGATAACAAATAAGAGGTTAAGAAATTATATCTGTCTTCCTACCAAAAGTGAGTATAACAGACATTATGTAGTACAATTTATATGTATGGTATGTCCAATATCATAAACAATTTTCATTTAATTATGTAATTTTTTAATACTTAAGGCAAATTTCGTGGACGAAAAAAAAACACGATATCAGATAAAGATTGCTTATCATAATGATAAAAATGTCTATATGTGAATGTAACTTAAAACATTCCTACAAAGATTTATAATGCAATATTTTTCATTTTGAATTATAGTAGATTCGTTAATATAAACATACTCTTAAAAAATGTGTGTATCATAAACTTAGATTAAATAAAATAACAGACTTAGATAATGTTTCAGTCATATATAAGATGAAATTGAATGGAATACAGTAATAAAAGTTCATTGCCTGTAAATATAGTAATTTATGATTAAATTTGGTGTTGGAATTTAATAAATCACACATTTCAAATATAACAATATTAAAACTATGACTTACCTTAGTCTTACAATCAGCACAAAACCGATGCTTCCGGAGATAATTATGCAGAGTATCGTGGAGTGTGTTGAAATGTATGAGAGTGACATGTTCACGTGCGGAGGTTCTCATGGCGTCCCACGCGGCGCGCCACGCAGCTCGGCCGCCCCATCCCCACGCACCCCAGCCCCAACTACAATTCCCCATGCCCCACGAGCTCCAAGCCCCACATGCGCCATTGCTCGGTCCTCCTGTGGATGCTACACCCCAACCACGCGCTCCTCCAGCCTCTAATGAGTGTAATGTACACCGCTGAGACTTTTTCCAGCGTGGTTGACTTAAGATTAGACATTCAATCCCAGTGCTGAAAATGTTAAAGTTGTCAATCACACAATTTTAATATCTAGTGTTTAATGTACATAAATTATAATATCTTTACCTGTAAAAACTAGAATAAATACTATCCCACTCTAGCATAAGTACTACATAAAAATAGGTAACTATGCATAAACATTTCGAGACCGTGATTTTAAATCTAGGCATGATGCCCTTAATACTGATATTCATTAGTATGTCACCAATTCTGTCACTCACACTTAAATATTCACTTTCACTTACCTATGACCATTTAGCAGAGTAGCAAGTGACTGTGAATGTGTTATTTTGTCCTCTCGTATTGTCATTGTCCCGTCTGGGGTGAGGATCAGTGGATCTAATGTTGGATGTTCTGATTTACAAAGTTGATAGAATAATCGCTCCACACTGAAAAATTACAGCAATATAAGAAATATCAAAACTTATGTTATTTTTTTTTTCATAGTGTTTTTGGTTTCGTTATTGGTTGATAAAACAAAAAGTTGTTGGTATTTTTACATATCTTTTCAAAAAGGATACATAGAGGGATAATAATGAACAATTTAAAATTGGTACTACCTTCTTCTACAGCCAACACAAGGAATGCTTTGGTTTAGTACATTAAATATGTCAGACGCGTCAACCCTTAGAGCTGCTTTAAGTTCTTCTGTTGAGAGGATTCTATATTTTCGCATGAATTCTTCGTATTCCCGTCCCTTAACTTGTGGATTATCACAAATCAATCCCATTGTTTTCAAGTCCATTACCATCTGCAAAACAAAATCAAATACAATAACAACAATTAAATAATGTTATAAATTAAGGTCAGTCATTGACCGTCACTTTAGTCTGCTTAAACTTTTAGTTTTATTTCTTGAAAAAAGAAAACAATTTAGCTGAACGCATAACACAAGAAGATCAATATTGCGTGCGCATGAAATTATTTTTATTAACCACATGACTTATATTTTGTTAATGATTTAATCAAAAATCTACGTTTGATGTACTGTCAAAACGTAAACTTGATTACTTACAGTCAGGTTTTCATAAATAGTTAGCGGTAGTTGTCTTCTTTTAATAACAGGATCTTTTTCGCTATTGTATATATCCACTAGTTTAGCCATTTTTGTGATCAATCACATAAAATAGCCAACAAAATACACAATTAATAAAATGACGGCTGATGACGGCCAAGTTTTCCCCGATACAGGTCAAAGAATATATGACTTTAGGATACACGAATACACTTAGTGATTTCCAAAGACAAGTGTGACTTTGAGCATTGGATTCGTGTAGGTGGTTTTAAATATATTTTAATAAATAAAGATATTTAAAAATGTTCTTCGTTATTTAGTTGGATATTAAGCATGAATTTTTATTAATTGTTACTTATCCTATCACAAGTAAATGATTAAAAGTTGAAATGTGGTTGTAGGTTTTTAAATGCCTACTTGTATTGTAAAATGCCAGCGTGGTTGACTATGGCCTAATCACCCTAACTTAGGGTAGGCTCCGAGCCCCTCGGTGGGGACGTATCGTAAGTTGATGATGATGATGATGATGATGATTGTAAAAAGTACACCTTGTTTTATTCTGTGACTATCTATTTATTGTGAAATGTCAATGTCACTGAAAGGAAGGAACAGGAAGAAACGTAAAAATAATATTTGAATATAGTAAATATAAATTTGTTCAAATATAAATAAATGAAAATAACCTAATTAAAATATCGTTTACAGTTGATCTATCACGATGTCAAAAATATTTACTCCCACTAATCAAATACGCCTAACAAACGTCGCCATTGTTAGGTTGAAAAAAGGTGGTAAAAGATATGAAATTGCTTGTTATAGGAATAAAGTGTTATCTTGGAGGAACAAATTGTATGTGTTCTCTTTGTGAACCATTTTATTTGCAACATATTTTTAGACAAATTCAATAAACTTTTACTTTTATTTTACAGAGAAAAAGATATAGATGAAGTACTTCAAACACATACTGTCTTTACAAATGTTTCTAAAGGACAAGTGGCTAAAAAAGAAGATTTAGTTAAAATATTCGGAACAGATAATCAAACAGAGATATGTAAGGAAATTCTTGAAAAAGGGGAACTTCAGGTGTCTGACAAAGAAAGGCACTCCCAAATAGATTCTCTTTTTAAAGACATTGCTACCACTGTCGCAGATAAATGTGTTAATCCAGAAACAAAAAGGCCATATCCAGTATCTATTATAGAGAAAGCAATGAAAGACACCCATTTTTCTGTTAATGTTAATAGAAGTGCAAAGCAACAAGCACTTGATGTTATTCAGATGATTAAAAAAGAAATTCCTCTTGAGAGAGCACAAATGAGGGTAAGAATTACCCTTGGTGGAAAAGATGCAAAGAAAGTAATAGAAAAAGCTGTAAAGCTTGCTACTAGCGTTGAAGAAGAAAATTGGGAATCTGGTACAGCAAATATTATTTGTCTTATTGATCCTGGCAGTTTTAGGAATTTAGATGACATGATACGCTCCGATACAAAAGGCCATGGACAATTTGAGTTACTCAACTTGAAAGAAATGGTTGAAGGTGAACAAACCTTGTGAAATAAGTGGACACTAATTTTGTGTTATTTATTTACTCAGTATGCAATTATGTAACAGGCTTAAAATAAAAATATGTTATTTTCCACTTTTTGTTATTTTCTTTTATAATTTAAAATGTTTAAGGGCATTATTCGGCACTACAATAATTCATCGTAACCTAATAAAATAAAGAGCTTAAAATATCAAGTCAGTTGTAGTTACTATTGCCTTTACCCATAGAGATTTGTGACTTTGAATGTGGCTGTCTTATTTTGATAAACTACCTTTATGAATAAAGCTAAAAGTCATAAAAACATATGCAAATCCATGTTTTCTATTGACATAGTTAAGTAGTCAAATTTAAAATAAATGTTTTAAATAAGTATAAAGTATAACCTTGACCTGTGTCTATGGCTGATGGCTGATAAGTTTTAAAATTAAGTCATTGTAGTGTTAGTGACTAGTACCGTTGCGTCAAGTTCGTACAGTAGCAAATCGAGCACAAAGTAAATAAGAATTGAAATCCTTATATTCAATCGTGGAACAAATTTCAATATTGTATTTTATTAAAAGGGTTTTTACAACATGGCATCAATTTCATAGGCAAAAGCATTCGGCATAATATTCGTTTATTGTTTAAAATGACAAGTGACGACAAACGTTGTTTTACGTATCAGAAAAAATTGTAATCAAGATTTGTTACTCAATAATTCAAAAGAATAATAATTAAAAATTAGTTACTACAATCATACTTGCAAAAATATTATGTTTTCTTATGACTTGTAAGAATCTGTTCAAATAGTAGAGTGAAACGAAACGTAGAAGTGAATGTACCCATCAGCAAATGAATGACAAATTAAAAAGTTTTATTTTTCTTATATTGGTACGAGATTTTATTGATTGTTTTCTTTCAAGATTTTCGGCCAGACGGCGACTGAAATTGCAAGTTACTGTGATATATTTATTTTCAATAATTAACTATTCTTGTCAAACCAATTAAATGAGCAGGGATATCGAGTTATGTCTATAAGTAATGGAAGGTACAGAACTGGGTGGCGACCAGCAATTCTGTTTGAGATGGAACAATTTTCAAGCAAATATAACTTCTCAATTCGAGGCACTGCGCGATGATGAGGACTTCGTGGATGTCACCCTGGCATGTGAAGGACACAGGCTGGAGGCCCACAAAGTGGTTCTCTCTGCGTGTAGTCCTTATTTCAAGGAATTATTTAAAGTAAGTCCATCTTTCACTCCCCACACTTTGATGTGTCACCATTACAATGACTCTAGTGAAAGTTGTTATGTATAAAACACTTGATCTACTTACAAATGCCATGTCTTGCGTTCCGGTTAAGTACTCGTGATTTCATTTATTTGTACCTACTTTAGAATTCTGTTTCACAATTTCTAATTATCTTATTATCATTGAATTCCATGTCGTATGCGTTAAAAAAAGGAAAAAACAGAATTTCATCTCTAACAGCTCCACTATTTGTTTTAAATAGTGATTGTTAAAATGTGACAGACCTTTCTAAAGTTAATTCAAACTATCTAAAGCTGACATTATCCTATAATACAATTAATTTTTATAATAATAGACTACTACAATTTTTTATTACAAAGTTTCTCTGTGGAAAAATAATTACTGAACTTTAATTAACATTCAATGAAGTATGTAGTTCTATGATAGTTTCATTGTTCTGCATTGAAGTAGGTGAATGACATGTAAAATACACCCAATGAATTAGATTTCACTGCAATTTAAATGTATTAATAAATCAATGTTTCATATGTAAAAGATAAGATAATCACATTCATTGTGAATAGTATATAATACATAATTATAACTATAATATTGCATAGTTTAAAATAAACAGAACTTATTCAGAGAAAAATTTACTCAAGTATTTACATCATTGAATAGTAAATATGTGCATTAGAAATTCAAATTAGAAATAACTTTAAATTTGTATATTTTATCCAATCAATCCCTTGACTTTAAATACTATTACAATGCAATACAATAATAATCCTAACAATCTGATTTATCTTCTATGATATATAAACAAAAACCTTGTTGATGTTTGGATAGATATAGTTTGTTACATCTGTTTTGGTTATAAAAATAATGAATGATTAATAACCTTCTTCTTTTCAATTTTAGCTAATAAGAAAGGTAGATAGAAGCTGCAAAACATGTAATAGAATGATAAGAATTGATAGCATATTTCATGGTATTTACTCACTAATACTACAATTCTAAGTGTGAGATGAAAGCAAATACATTAAATAGTTTGAAAATATTTTCTACCTAAAATTGACTAGCTAAATGTTTTTTTTTATTCATCTTAAATGAAATTTATTAAAACTATCACTAATATAAATTATGTAAATTAAAACAATCTTTCTTTCTTTCTTTGTTCATTCAGAAAACCTTGAGAAAGGTTATCAAAACCTCTTGATTTTGCCGACCCTTAAATTTATTATTTTTTGTTTCTAACTTTTCAATACACCAAAATGACCAAAGTAAATCTTATAATTCTTATCACCGCCCATAACTGATATGTAATGATTTGTCCCATTACATTATTATATTAACTGTTACTAATTGTTTTAAAGTTTATGTAATTAATTTTTATATGAACTTTATACAACTAAATTTAAAACAGCTGAACTACTTTTTTACTTTTAATTTGCTTGAATACCTCTCAATATCTTTCTACTCCAGATTGTTAAAACTTATGGAAATAAATAGAGTCTTATTGATAGTAACTTCTTAATAAATATTTGTATTATTATTTGTAATTTCCTTCTAATGAGTCATCAATTCTATGATACTCTAGTGATTTAAAAAGATATAATAAAATGAAGGTAAAATATGTAATAATAGTTAATTAAAAGTGTTATTAAAAAGGCTTTAATTATAGTCTCGTTTACAACTCAGATGATACATTTTGACTTATATTTGTGTATCACATGAATAGTCATGTATATTGTCAATTTGTGTAAGTGCTTACAATCAGTGCAGCCGTCGCGATTTAAAGCAAATAGATATAAATACGGACCTTATGATTCATCTGGCTTGTACCACAGAGATATGTCTGCAAGATTAATTTACGTTGCAAGTATCTTATTCTCGTACATGACAAAATCTGTGTAAAATTAAATGAAAAGTGTTTTTTATTTGCTATGATTAAAGATAGGGCTATGTGCTAGATTAGTATTACAAAACAGTAGGTCACTTCATTCATAACTACCAGTCGCCCATGACGTTGTCCGTGCGGAATTAAAAAACACCTTATTAGTAGCCTATGTGTTCTTCCAGACTATTTTCTACATCTATGGCAAATTTCAGCAAGATCTATACAGTCGTTCCACAGATATCTTCAACCAAACATCCATCAATCCAAACATTCACATTTAAAATATTAGTAAGATTATCGTACTTTAAAGTTGACAATGTTCACATTTAAGTTTTTTTTTGAGGATTACAGTTGGTGTCCATGTTTTCACATAGATAATACAGGGTTTGGTGGGCTTGTACATATTTGTGTGTACTTACATTTTCAAATAGATTTTATCTTATACTTTACGTTTATTAGTAGGATGTTGACTCATGAAATTGTTTGCAGAACAATCCATGTGCTCACCCTATAATATTCATGCGGGACTGCGAGGTGTCGCACGTTCGCGCGTTGCTGCAATTCATGTACGCGGGCCAGGTAAACATCGCGCAGGCGCAACTCAGCGCCTTCCTGCGCACCGCAGACGCGCTGCAGATCCGCGGCCTCACAGATTGCTCACAACACAACGATAAAGTAAATATAACAATCTCTTTAATACAAAGTTCTTCTGAAGTTTTCTCTCTTCTAAGTAATTTTATTGTTCGCAGAAAGTCAATCGAAAGTCTCCCCCTTCCCAATTACGTAATTTGCTCAGCGCCAAGCCGTCACATTCTACCTCCTCCTCCAAAGCCGTAAACCAAAACGTCGAATCGAACGCTGCCGAAGATCACGAGAAGAGCGCTAGTCGTCGTTCTGCGAGAAATTCTCCCGATGTTGCCAGAAATAATCTCAGCGAAGAAGCTCCCTTCCAAATTTCTAGTCAAATGAGGCCTAATAATAATGAATATAGCGAACCCTGCACCTACCCTACGTTAAGGGTGAAAACTGATCTCGAAGCACCAGAGCTGAACAATGATGAGAATGATATTTTAATGGATTCCGGCGATCCGGAGAAAATGGAAAAATGCGGACAAGATTTTACCGCATCGGACCTTTTGGAACCAAAAATGGAAATGATGGAACAGGAAGCCAGCGACGAGGAACGGTCTGGTTACCAACAGATGTATTACAATGAGAACAATGCGCTTGCCAACCCGTTTGCAACACTGCCAGGTGAATTGCCTTCTACTGATGTTTTATTGCAATGGTTTTGTATATGTGATGTTATAATATTGTGTGTCGCTGCAGGTAACGTGGATCTCATGGGCGGATTGAGCACGGATCTCCGGGACGAGAAAGCAGAAGGTAAATATGCTATCTTCTCTCACTGTCACGTCATTCTCACACGCACACGTGTACTCGGACAGCCGCGCCCCCGGCGAACCTTTCGTTTTCACAGTCAACGTATCGATTTGTTTAGAACAAACATTTAGAAGAGAGCGCGCGCGATATTGTTCAATTGAGGTGGCTAGGCGCGCGGGTGTCGGGTGCTGACGCGCGGCCGCACACCCTCAAGCCCGCAACCTCCTCCAATGCTAACAGGTCTACCCTACAATATATTTTTCTTATTAACACAATAAACATTAAGCGATTACTCTAATGTCATCTACATTGTTCTGAAAAAAGACTTAACCACAATTTGTTCCTAGATAACGCAATGGAACGTCTTTATTTATCCGTACGTTCTTATTAAATGCCCGTCGTGGACCCAGCCTACGTTGCAATGTCAAAGTCAAATTACAAAGATCTAAATAAAAATAAGCAAAACTTTATTTAAAAAGGTAGAATATTTTTTATCTTTTTTATAAATTCTTAAAGCTTACGACTTTCTCTACTATCCTTTGAACATACCAAAATGTTATCATAATACCAAGGTCTGGCAAAAGCGTATAGGACTAACATAGAAATATTGATTTTTGTTGGCTAATGCGGAAAAAACAATGTTATTTACAGAGATGTAATAAACTTGTCAAAATAAATCTTATTCCAAACATCAATTCAAAAGTTTGCGAACTAATAGCCTTCATTTACTTTGTTTAATAGTAAAGCAACTACTGGTCTACTTTTATAAAATACTTTTAAGTACTTTTTAATATAAGTTTGAGAACGAAGTAGATACAAAACGCAGCAACGATACATAGTTCGGGAATGTAATTAACTATGAACTTATTTAAAGCATAACAAATCTTGGCACCCGTTTTGACTAAATAGAAGTTTACAGGGGAAAGTTTACTTTGAGATTACTATTACCCTGCCTTCAGTTGAGAAACAATGTACCTATTAGCATTGGAAGGTGTATATAAGCGAGGTGTGAGGAGTGGCGGTAGGGGATAGTGCGGGCCCGCGGTGCCGCAGTGCGAACTGGTGTTGTTGGCAGCGGGCGGCGCGGGCGCGGGCGCGGGCGTGCGGTGCGCGCAGTGCGGACGGCGGTACAGCAACGCGTCCAACCTGCGCCAGCACGTGCGGCTCATCCACGAGGCGCAGCCGGCGGTGTGCGACACCTGTGGCCGCTCCTTCAAGACGCCGCTCTACTTGCGCCGGCATATGCTGGCGCAGCACCCCGCTTGCCTCAAGCCGGCGCCGCCGCCGCTGCCCGCGCTGCGGCCTGCGATCCATTACCGACAGTAGCGCACGCGCTCTCTTACCCCTATGCTAAGCAGAAGACCGCGCACGGGACCAGCGCCACGATCCCCTCAAGATCGATTATGTCGCGCTTATTCTTTCATTTACTTTAAATACCATATTCTGGGGTCTCTCTTCGAGCTATTGCTCCTCCAGTTATCTCCTCTCAGGCTCATGCAGAAATGTCATGTCGTTTGAGCTTTGAGCCTTTCGAACAACGCGACAACTTGTGTGCAAATTTTTTGATATAAGTTTGTCGCTCAGCACCAGCGAAATTTCCTACACCTTTAAATATTAGGGAATCACTTGCAAGCTGCATTTTTATATGAATAGCACTTTGATTTGTAAAGCGTCAAACCGTCTTTTCAGCCAGGATACTCGTTCTTTGTAATTGTTAGTTTTTACATAATGATCGTTGCGCTGGTCCTTTTTGTAGTCTTCAACGAGGGGCACAATAGTGTATCAATCATAGTTTCTCCACTTTTTACGTTAGATTACTGAAGTTGCATTTATGAAACTCATCGATGCGGAAAGTGCGTATTCTATTGTTCCTCGTCGTTGGTCGCATTGCGATGACGTGGCTCATAGCGAGACGTCATAATGAAGACTGTCAGTAGATGTATCTAGTCTGTGATCGGAGTGTCGCCGGGGGCCTTTCTGCCGTCACCTCTCCGCTTATTGCGTGCCTTTCAATAATTATACCGAGTGCCAGACATACGTTGCTTTGACGAGTCCCATTTGGTTCGATAATATAAGTAACCTTTAACTTTATTTGTCAATTGTTAATTACTAGTTTTGTTAATAGACGTATACACCATACTACAGTATATGAAATGAGGCGATGAACTCAGCCCCCTGAGTCACGGCGACTCATGTTATTTGTAGGTTTGTGTGACTAACTGGGACTCGTCAAGGGAAACGCTTAAGTACCTTCCTTTCTGACAATAGACTGATCGTTGTTAAAGCATTTGTTGCAACCGGTGCTGATTTATCATAGGTTATTTACAGGTTACATATTATACATACATACATACCTACATATACACGTTATCCATAAGTTCGATACTTTCTGTCGCGTTCCAAGCAAATGTGTATTTTCATATATAGAGTATAATTTTTTTTTTGTACCGTAATCGCGATGGAAAGGGTCGAACTCCTCCGTTTTTGTGTCGATCTCGCGATGTTACATAAACTCGTGAACGACATCTACAATAGTGATATTTTTTATACACAATAGTTTATCTTTACACAGTGTTATATTGTTATGTGATTGGACGGCTCCCGGTTATTAGTTTGTACAAATTTCAGACGTAAAGGTTTAATGTTAAATGTCTTCAGATTCACGGAACGATGAGAATAATAATTGTTACGATGTTTATAGTGTTAAACTTGCCATAGCTATCGAGGAAACCAGTGACTAAAACACTGGATTCAGACTATATATTAGTATGTAAGGGACTTTGTATTTTTTTAAACTTTTGTGCACCTGATTTATTTATAGTTAGAATTTCATTTAAGTCAGTTAGGTGGGCTAATTAAAAATATTGCTTAGGAAGAATATAAAAAAGTTTGCCATGGAATAGAAAACATCTAGTCATTTTAAAAGAAACGGAATTTTGTAGTGTCACGATGTCGGAAGTATGGATTAGGGTTGTGAATGTTTATATTTTTTTCTTTATCCGTAATAATATAAATTTTACCAAACTATATGAGATCTCAAATTATTTTATGATCTCTAATTGATAGTGCATTTCTTAAAATATTACGTGACGAAATAATACGAATGCAAACATTGCGAAACGTATTTGCATGTTTTGCGATAAATTATAGGTAATAGAAGAAAATACACACAAGAATCGTTATAGTTAAATATAATAATATTGAATCAGCACTTTCAAATTTTGCAAAACAATTCACGCCTTATCATTATAATATTAAATTGTAAAATAAAAAAAATTGAATCTCATATTTGCCGAAATCATTTACAATTAAATCTTGCGAATATTTTATAATTATGAAAGCAATGTTATTAAACGTAAATTAAGAAAAAAAAAACAATTATGAACAATGGTTTCCATTAAGTACTAATTTAGACTATTCTTACTTATTAGTATTATTTGTAGTGTTTAATATTGACAATATTGGAATTAAAATAAGTTCAGTTTGATGCTTTCTGATTCCCGCCTCTGCAGTTCTTAGTAGAATGCGTATAGTAGTTCATAATTGTAACGAACATTGTTCTTTGTTCCAGTTTTTATACATTTTTTTTTACATATTTGTATTAAGAAATAAATTATTAGCTTTTTATGAAAGTTAAATATATCTTGTAACTTATCGAATACCATTTATTACGCTTATAAATAATTTTCACTGTTACATTTCTACTTTAATATTTTTGCAATAAAACGGTCAATTGAAAGTTTTGACTGTTCCAGTGAAACTTCATTACAATTATTATATAATTCTTCATTCTTCAAATATAATCAACTTCGTCTGTGCAATTGCTTAGTGCGGAATATTACTACTTTGTATGTACATAAATTGATGTAATTTTTTTACTAAACATATTAAAAGTATTGGAAATACACATTGATTTTTTGTTTAAATAAATTAAATATTTTTAATCGACTTTAAATTTGTCAATTTTAAATTTACAATAATTCTATTTTAAAGCTTTTTCAAAAAAGTTTTTATTCATAAATTTTTATTTTAGATTTTTTTTTAAACTTTTATTCATTTGTTTTTATTGCCGGTTTCTAAACGGTTGTATTCCGGTGACATTTAGAAACTGTTTTTTTTTTAGTTCTTGATAAATAAAGTGTACACAAACACCCATTACTAAAAATCTTACGTATTTGCATCATACAATCGTTACGAAGCACAATGGTAACACAAGAAATTACCCAATTTTTTTTATTATAGTTACATAATGTGTAAAAATGCTTGACATCTTTATTTATAGTACTAGAATGGCCACAGTATTGTATCATTCCGACAGCTTTTAGTATTATTTGGTTTAAAAAGAACCTTATATTCCAACAGAAAAAAAATAGAATTTTTCGTTAATTTTCAATGCCCTTATTGAATATAACTGTGTAGCAGCTTACAAAAAATATTTTTATTAAAACAAACGGAAAATGGTGTCGGTGATTGCACACACAGGTATAGTTATTTTTCCATATATACTTATTTAAGCTTTAATACTGGCCAGAATATCTCAACATTTTAGAAAATAGAGGTTTATAGGTTATCATTTATTAGACATATCCCCCACCGCCTCACCGCGACCGCGTACATTCCCGCGCAATAACTAAAGAATTTATCTCTTTCGTTCGCTGACCGTGGGTTTCCGAGACCGAAATCCCCGTCTAAAACATTTTATTTCTATTTTGTCATGACAGGGATGACGATATGTTATTATCGATCACACGTCTTCTACTCGTGGACTCTGCGCTGTCACGGGGCAGTTTGAGTTTAATTAGCGATAAACACTAGAATAAATGTAACCTAACAGCAACTGTGTATTGTGTGTACCAAGAAAGGTATGCCAGGTTTCATACTGCCTTCCAGTCGGTGTGGCGGGTTTGTACAACTATGTTTGTATGTAAACTTTTTACGCGAGTCTACTCTCCTTGTGTTACGAGTAATGCCATTCTAAAATCATTTCACATTGACTAATGCAGCAGCTTAGATATCTCCATAATAATTAGAGTAGTAATTACTCTTCTAGTTTAAACGTGTGACAGAGATTTTGCGTGCGTGTGTACTGAGCGTTGGTTATGTGTCAGCGGGTTGCGGGCGCTGGGATCGGCGCGCGCGGCCGGTGCCGGACGCCGTATGGCTGGAGCAGCATCGCCGAGCCCTGCCTTTCCTGCTCAAGAGAGAGAACGAGCGCGGCGCAGTCGCACCGAGGCTTGTAAGTTACCTTGCATTTATTATATTTATTTTAAACCAGGGTCATCAATGTCAATAAGTTAACAATCACTCTTCAATATCTTTTTTTAATGAATACCAGGAAAATTATTTGATATTTAAATTACTCATATGATTTGATGGTTTGTCACAGCTACTGATTAATAATGCCATTAAAAATACATTTTCGAATTAAGGTATCTCTGTATGTTTTTCAACCCTTGTATTGTTGAACTATCAAAATGTAGATACGGATCCCGTGAGGGATGTTTGAATCATATTTACTATATAACTCCGCAAGGGTTCAACATTTTATTGAAATTAATTTATTTTTCATCTTACTAATATTATAAATGCGAATGTTTGGATTGATGGATGTTTGTAAGAAGGTATCACCAGAACGGCTGCATAGATTTCGCTGACATTTCGCATAGATGTAGAACATTTGGAACATTTGGAGTCTGGAGGAACATATAGGCTATTTGTTTTTTATTTCTGCGCAGACGAAGTCGTAGATTAGGCTAGTGAATAAAATATATAAAATCTTCGCTTGTTGTAACAAATGACGACGTAATTATCTGTATATGTTTTATCTTGGATTGATGTTTTGTGTCAGTGAACTATCCAGGTGGTACTTATCGGGTAGTAGTAGTGATAAACGAGGGCGCACTCTTCGTTTTATCATTTATGCTTGAAAAGAATGCTCATATGTTTAATATACATGATATTTGAGTCTAAAATACTTTATATATATTGAATTGTAAGGTGAGATATTTGGTGTTTAAAACTAAGCTAGCTATCCTCTTCCGGAGTACTTGATCATATTTTACGATAGCTACGGAATGTATAGATAGATGAAATTATTAAAAATATGTGATCCATTTCCCCCCCTACCCAATAACAGAAACCACGGCTTTATATTTTACATGCTACCTTTTGAATTGTTGAGTTCTTGTAGTTGTTAATATGCACGCAATTGAGCGTGCATATGCAAACTAATACAAAACAAGGAAATAACGCTTTCCGTACAATAACGCATTCTAATAACTCCATAATTATACTGCATTAATTTTTTTTCTTTAGATGCAATGTATAAGTAAAAACTTACATCACATTACACGTAGAGTCCAGATACTATTTGTGGCCAGCGACTCCGTCCACACAGCAAGAAAAAACTTAATTAGTAGCCTATATGTTCTTCCAGTCTATGTTCTACATCTATGCCAAATTTCAGCGGGATCCGTTCAGCCGTTCTGGAGATACCTTCTAACAAATATCCATCCGTCTTAACTTTCGCATTTATATAATATAAGTAGGATATATATTTTTGTTAAGCACTTGCTGATGGTTTCTGAGACCAAAATATCTGTATAAAACATATCATCATCCCTGTCGTTATCTTTGACGAAATAGAGACAAAAGTATGTTTAAACTGAAATTTTGGACTCAGGACTCTTCGGTTAGTGGACCTTTAAAAAAATAAAATTAAAAACTTATAGGCGCGGAAATGAATGAATGAAAAAGGTTAAAGTTTATCATTGGCTTCTTCACTCACATTCGACAACGTGTTTAACTTCCACACAATGTCCAACGAGATTGTGATTTAAACTACTTTAAGGTTTATGTAATTTTATGTGATAAATGAAAAGATTTAGATGGCATTTTAATGTCTGTTTATTTTATAGCTACTAACAGCTATCACCCGCGAGTCTGTACGCATTAAATAAAAAAAACTTTAGTAGTATGTATCTCCAGACTTTGTTCTACATCTTAGTTAAATGTAAACATTCGCATTTATTATATTAAGTAAGATTTGATTAATCTTGTACTATACTAGTTATGGTGAGGAATCTTTCGTTATGTTTATATAGGAACATGGTATATTTCTGCAGCTAAGTTATAATATGCATGTCAATCAATAACTGACCTAACGAGATACCATATCGCTAGTATTATTATGTAAGCGCGATCCTTAGTATGATTTTGAATTTTGCGTATGTTAATTATAAGGTGAACTATTTTATATGTATTAAACATCGCTCCTTTTCTATTTTCATTCACTACTGAAGTTGGTCAATTTGTATTTAAAATATAATTTATTACGATACTAGCAGTCGCCCGCTACGTCCGCGCGGAATTAAAGAAAAAGGTAATTAGCCATTATTCTTCCAGACTATGTTCTGTATGCATGTGAAATTTCATCGAGATCCGTTCAGCTGTTCTGGAGATACCTTCATACAAACATCCATCCATCAATCCATCTAACATTTATAATTAGTAAGATACGGTCATATTATGCTATAGATAATTATTGCGGCGTTAATTTTATACGACGTGGGTAGATTAGACAGAATAAAACGTGCTATAAAATAAAAAATAAAAAACATGTTGATTAATAGTCCTCAGACCGTCTTATAATATATACCAGTCGTAAAATATCGAAAGTCTAGAACAATATTGACGTGAAATTGAATTGTTTTTTTAAATCTGGAAGACCAAGCTTTGCTCGGTATTTTTTTTAAATTGTGTTTTTTGGAAATTATATTTAAGTACGAATTACTAATAAAATGATGAAATATGAATAATATTTTTCGATCTTACCGATAGAAAAAGTTAAGTTTATGTTTAAGTTAATTATAGATAAAACACAAATAAAATGACATTTTCTAAAAATGGCTCCTAGCTAAATCGACATATCGCCCCCGAAACCCCCTATATACTAAATTTTATGAAAATCGTTGGAGCCGATTCCGAGATTCCAATTATATATAAATATATATATATATATATATATATATATATATACACACAAGAATTGCTCCATTAAAGATATGTACTTTATAATAATTTGTATAACTAATGAGGTTGACTTTTACTTGTGTTATATATATTATTATTTATGACCAAGAGAATGGTTTTGTTTATTTTTCTTATTTATTTGAAACGAAAGTAGTTGTCAGGGGTGAATTTTAATGTAGCAACACATAATAATATATTATCTGTCAAAAAAAATATTGCATGATTATTTACTAACGTGGAATAAAATCAAAAATTTGTAAATACATACTAAGATAACGTTTACGTTTGGTTAGAAATAGTCAATTAAAAAAATATACATCGTAAACCAAGTAAAATTGTCTTGTCTACGCTTTACTTTTTTTTATATTTAGTAGTCAATTTGTGTGTTTTAATGAAAATAAGTTATTACTCCGATATGGCCAATATCTGTGTGGTTTGCCTTTTTTTTATTTCAATGTCAAGTTTTTTTCACGACAACTTACATATCATCGGAGTAATATAAAAAATGAAGATCGTGTTTTATAAATACATAAAAAAAAAACTTTTAAAAATATTAAATTTCTGTCTGTCCTGACGTCTGATCTTATGGAAAATCTGTACAACGACTTTATCTCGGGTTATCCAAATATTTATAAATATTATGTATTAAATGTAAATATTTATCATTGTCTGGCATTATTTGGTAAGAAATAATTTTATTTATAAATTTATCTAATGGAAATCTCTAATTTTTAGCGCCTTAGGCAAATGTTTGAAACATTGCAGCAGAAATAAACTCTAGAAGGAGTAGATAGACGACAAATTGAAGTTGAAAACAAAAATTGTATCTCATTCGGCCTCCTATCTATTGTTAAATGTTAAAACATCGTAATCTATTACGACATGCCACACAACCAGTTTTCACGAGATAGGCCTATAGTTATATCGGCATAATTATCGCTCGGGTTATCACCTGCACGTGTCAATAAAAACAAGACCTTGGTAAAAAAACGTAACATGAATACATAACTGGTCACCAGATAAAGCTCGGCGAGGGTGTGGAGATTCGCGAGGAGCTGCTACGTGGCGTGAAATGGGGGGACTATAGGAAAGTGACGCGAGGGCTGGCTGCGGCGCTGTTCTCGCCCATGGAACTGGCGACGTGTTCGGTGACGGGACAGCGCTGGTCGCGCGCGGGCCAGGAGGCGCGCCCCACAAAGCCACCGCTCGACCGTCGCCGCGTGCACGCCCTCATATCCTATGTCAGCCGGCATTTCCCCGACGTCGAAGTCAGCCGCATCAAGCAGGTCCTCGCCTACAAGTGCAAGGAGAACTGCGCCGCACTCCGCATGAGGACCGCCAGGTGACGCAACGCTTTTTACCTATGTTTTTTTTTAATATTAGAAAGAATTAATTGAGTAAGCTTGTCCTGATTGTATGACTGTAACTATCAAAAGTTTTAAACTACTTGGAGCCTTTATTAGAGGAATAGGAAGACCGCAGCAGGAGAGGAAAGAAAGAGAGAGTAGATATAGGTATCTTATTGTTTCTTTTTTTGTCATAATCGTTTTAATGATTCAACGATGTTAGGGATAACAACACCTATAGTATAAGTTATTAAGATAATGAGTTTTAGATGGCTTTTTACTTCATCAGTTGTAAGTGTACTTGATTCATTAATAATTTGGTCATTTTTTTTTTAAATCAGGTATATTACGATATAAACAATACTGTCAGTAATATTTGGCACTACTAACAAAGTAATTTTATACAGTGATGGGATTTATGCTTGCAATTGTTAATAATATATTATGTTTGTCAAAGTAGATCTGAATGTCTCTAAATATGATATTACTTTGATGTTTCTGAACTTTGATACATAATACAAAATGGGGTCACATCATAAATTAAGTTTTATCACCGCAGCCCTACGTATTTGCATGTCTCAATTATTGCTTTGCCGATATCAACATGTGTACAATCAGTCGAATCTTATTTCGATTCGTTATTAGAATATAACGGGACATGACTTTGTTTTATTTTTCATAGTAATCGTAAGAACTTTATAATTTAAATATAGATTATTATTGCGCTGTTTGGAAATGTGCAATTCAAAACAAGACCACTTTCCGTAGATGGAGTAATTTTATGACCTTACAAACAATATTACTGTACTAAGCAGTAGTATTATTTGTAGTAGGCCTTCGTTTAGTTTTAAGGTCAATACGGCCATGTTTGTGACACCCGTGTGTATTTTTTTAACGAATAATGAACATAGTATTTTTTAAACCACTAATATCTCAGACAAAAATATTAGTGTGGTTTTCTCCGAAGTAAAAATGATTATTGCAGATAGTGACCATTCGTAACATAACGATGCATTTTGTAAAAGTTGTAAATTGTAAATTTTATCATGAGAAATGGTATTTTTATCTTAAAAAGAGAAACCAATAGAGACATATTTGTGTTTTTTTTTACATTTATAAAAAAAAAAAAAATCTTGTCAAAGAAAAAGACAGTATTACAAAAAGAATTTTTATATTGTGTTGTCGTATAAGTTCGTGTTTAAGCACAATTTAAATGAATTGCGTTTCAATTAAAATCTATATTTGATATATAACCGCTACGACTTAGGGTCCTTCAAGAAGCGAGCTTATCACCATCTCAAAGGCCGGCAACGCATCTGCGGTTCCTCTGGTATTGCTGATGTCCATAGGCGTCGTTGAACACCTCCGTGTTCCCGCTGCTCGTTTGCCCCATTCTGTTATTTAAAAAAAATGTTCCTTCTCTTACGTTCTTCTACAAAAAAAATCTTTTATCTCAAAAAGTTGAAATTATTCCCATTATGAGAAATTTTGTAATGATTGAAAATGATGGAACTCCGAAAGCGAATCCACTGCTACACATTTATTTTGACTTCAGTACCTTTGTCATAAACAATGCCAATCTTATTTTCCGCATGGCATTATTGCGGTTTTACAGAAAGAAAATCAAAAATGTCTAAAATAATTTTATTTCTTGATATATTCTACAGAGTACACAAATTGATAACAACGAACCGTAACCAAACGTTTTTCTAAAGTACTTAAATCTTCATATTATAATACATGACAACGAATTTTTACAATTAAAAATGTACGTGATAATAACACAAACTTGATAATAATAGGAACAAAAAAAAATCTTTGTAAAGATAAACCATAATGTTTTGTCTCACGCTCGATCAACTAGTGAAGTTAAAGCATAAAATTACGATAAAAATTTGAGGAAACATTCAACAGAAACTTATAACTTAAAAACAGATGATTTTTTTTTATAAAATAAAATTATTTTGTTTTTAATATTGTGTGTTCTATATTACCTCAAAATATAGTTCAATATAAAAAAACACGTAGTTTCCAATTTCAACCAAACAACTTTCCGTTTAACTTAATTCACAAAAGCTAAGATTACAATTTATATTATAAACTTTATAACGTCAATAAATCATTAATAAAACGTTAAGGGATATCTCACAGCGTTTTTATCATTTGTTTATATATTTTAAAATTAATTTATATTTTTATATACTCTTTGTACTCATTATGGTTAAGATAACACCATGTCAACCTCCTATGTTTACATCGCTGTCTCTTGGGTTTTATCATGACCTATGTTAACACACAGCAACATTAGTTCAACAAACTTGACTTACTGTGACTCATGATTGAAAACACTATAACACTTTTATGTGAACATATTTAACATAAATTTATATTAATTACACTAGTGAAACAGAGTGAATAGAAAGAAAAGTAGAATATTCTTTAGGATAAAATATTCTATGATTTTCACTAATAAAAATACACAGTTTATTTACCAAAGAAAACTCATTCAATGTCATAGTGTAAAAACTGTTTGTAGTTTTGTGTATATACCTTGATTTCTCTTGGTTTATTAGAAACTAACTGTCGCCCACGAGTCCGTCCGCGTGGATATATTAAAAAAACTTAATTAGTCTAGCATATGTGTTCTTTCAGACTATGTTCTATACGTATGCCAAATCTAATGGAAATCCGTTCAGCCGTTCTAGAGATATCTTCAAACACCCATCCATCCGTCCACATCACATGCATCTAAACATTCGCATTTATTAGTAAGTTAAATAAAAAGCAACTCTTCAAGGCATAAATTAGAAATAAAAAAAAATAGTCTATATCCTATATCCTATGTCCGTCTCCTGACTCTCACCTACCTCCTCACTAATTTTCAGCCATATAGGTAAAGCCGTTCTTGAATTATAAATAGCGTAACTAACCCGAATTTCTTTTATATATATAAAATAACGTCGGAATCAACTATATCCTATATATTTTTTAATTACATTTAATGGCTTGACTATCCTCAATTGATAATTTTCTGAACTATTGCTAATTTTATCTATCGCTGTTTTTAGAAGACAGAAAATTTGTATATAAATGTTCACTTCTGTTATTCGTAAAATAAATAATGAACTACATTCGCGTTGTCAAAGGTTATCTGTGAAGCTATAAAGATCAATTAAATTCATGGCTTCTGTGCAAAAATTGTGTTATAATGTGGATAATTTAATCTTTTCAATGTTACAATGGTCATGAACATTGTCAAGGTCCATAGTATGTCTGCAAGTTTGTAGTGACGTCATCAAGTCATCGTTTTGTATCGTAACAAAATGAATATTTATATATCAATATTTTTTTTATACAACCACGTCATAGTTAGAAATAGACATTATGAAATAAAATTGATATTATTAGCTCCTCTGTTTCCACTGTTCTACTAAATTCCATTACACATTCAACTACTATTATTATGTTAACTTTGGTCTGCACATTTCTATGGTTTACTCATCAGCTGTTTATAAAACGAGCTGAATGTTATTCTTACTAAAGTAATACATTTCCGCGTCTGGTGATGACACAATTTAACATAGTTTTACTTACTATTATATATTACCATATGAAAGAATTAACTGATCAGCTTACTTATGCGAGGATCATGCCAAATGAAAATCCGTGGTCTCTGACTATTGCATCTAACCATTGGGTTTTTAAATGAGATGATAATTTAAATATTATAACAAAAGTAATCTTAGGAATGCTAAATACGTAAATGGTGATGCGTAATTCGTAGTATAGAGTAGACGGTGAGTCTGATCAATTGCTTGCAATCCGCCGGCTCTCGCCGCCCCACTCGAGGCAGTAATATAATTTGAAGCAGGCTGTCCAACTGTTTCAGTGAGTCGACCAACTACATGCTGAGTGCGGCCGCGCGCCCGCCATGCGCCGGCGACGACGTGCCTGCGCCATCCACCGCGCCCCCGCTCCCACCACCGCCCGTCCCACCCGCCAGCGCGAGACCGTCGTATTCTAACTTGTAAGTTATCGGTATATTCCTAAGCACATGTTTTCGCTGAATACATGTTTGGGAATTATTTAGAAAAGTAAGAATTCCATTTTTTTCTCAGTACGAGCGAGGCATCGAAAAGCGGCACGGCCGCGGGCAGCGGAGGCGGAGGTGGAGGCGAGTACGGGGGCGGGGCGGATGAGGGCGAGGCGCCGCAGTGATGCTGCACCCTGTTGCATATCAATTTCATAATCTTGTTATTTTTTACCAAAAATGAGAAATTGTATCGCCGTCGGTGGGCGATGGTCCGCGCGGGGCCGGGCCGCGGCGCAGCCGGCCCTCACCACAGATTTATATTTACTCGCTCGCCGCCCGGCCTGCGGGGACGACGCGCCGCCTGGCACGCCCCTGTCAAATATTCATATTTATTTAGGTGATATTTTTCTATTGGCTACTGATAAGATTTTATCTCGTTATGGTGTCCGGAGGCGCCGGCGCATTGTCGTTAGTGTGGAGGTGGGAGGAGGAGGAAGGGGGGGGGCGTGCTCGAAGCTCTAGCAATAATTTATCAGGTTCCTAAGACATATTTTGTAGTTAGGTTCTATTGCACGAATTTTCGCGAACACTGCCGCTTGTTTCTAAATTTATTTCGTCGATAATTAGTCATTGATTGCTTCCTTTTTATTGTCGGTTTACAAGAGATACATATGTTTTTTTATTATATATTTTCATTGTTACGTTAAAATTTTGTATATGAGGCATTTATGTGCTGTACGAGGGACCGTTGCAATTGCAAAGTAATATATCGAAAAAAATAATGGCATAATTTTTTTTAGAACTAACGTAGAGATATTGTAGTCATTTCGTTTTACGTAGGTGTAAAGTTAAAATAAAAAGAATTTATTTTGGAGTGCGTCAGGTTGGGATAATGCAAAGTCTATGGAGAGCTGTGATCGTGATGGTTTATAAAAGGAGTCATATTTTTAAATAAATTTAAGATTTATTAAGTGATGGCTGGGAAGGGGATGGCAGGGGAGGGGAGAGGAGGAGGGGCGCTGGGGAAAGCGGGCGGGGCCTGCCCCGGCGTGGGCCGCATATCAACCACGCCGATCTATTTATCATATCAATTAAGCAATAACTATTATTTGATATAAAATAATAATGAAATGAATTTTTTAATTTTTAAAAATAACTATTTTAACCGAGTTGTTATCGATGTAGTTAGTGAATAACTGAATTCTCTATTGTCCACGATCATTTATATAGTTCTTTTGAACGGTGATCAAATCCTCATGATAGTTCAGATGAATTAATGTCATATCAAATGTGCACGCTTTGGATAACAGCCGACGAGGTGACGGGCAGATGTTTGGCACGGTCGGGCAAACGGATGTCAAATAATTAAAAAAAAAAAACAAAGTACTGTACAGTAAGATCTCTTTAATCAAAGTCAATTTAAGGTAGTGACAAAATTATTTACTAAGGTATAAACAACGAAATAATACAATATATATATATATATATATATATAACGATTATATAACAAATTATGTCCCAAATATTGTACGTCCAAGAGAGTTTTTAATTTAAAAAATATGCATTTATTTGTATCTATTACGGAAAAGTTACATATCACTTTTACGTCATGTACGTTTTATGTTCTATAATATGAAATTTACCCTTTAGACAATACACGACAATCCGACTAGGATCTTGTGACAATATTTGCCATTACAGAGGAATATTGTGATTTAATTTTGTCTGGCTAGATTTGTCGCACTATAGCATATCCTCGTAATTTTTGTATGTACCCCTCTTCACTTAAATGCCATTAGACAATTGATCTACATTTACTCGTAATTGCGTTCTGATTAAAACTAAGAGCCAAAAGAGGGAGAGAAAAAGAAATACAATAATAGAACACATGGTTACAATATTTAATCACTATTTCACTGCGGTTTTTTTCGTATGAAAGTTAACTCGCCAGGCGAGTCAGTGGTAGTGTTCAATGCCACATCTGAACGCGCCTCGCCGGTGTACACGAGCGTAAGGGACAAGCGTGCACAGAACAAGTCCTGCACACGTAAGCAGTCGCCTGTATAATTGGTGTACCTATGAATAAGTTACAGTTACCAGAGTTAGGATATACTCATTAGTCACAGCGCTGCGTAGTCAACGTCTCGCATGTCATACGATGCCAATTGAAAGTCTTAATGCTCAATTTTGCCAAATTTTACTTGCCGAGAATGTCTTGTCTAATTATTTTTTGTGAGTTTTTTTTATATTTTCGTTTTTGTATTAAATCGATGCCAGACGGAGAACGGCTCGAATGATTTGCTCAAGTGAGGAGCGTTACCTTTTGTTTTCGTTTCGCTCACATATCGACAGATAATTATTTGGCCAAATAAACTTTATATCGTTAGGAAAAATTTATAATGAGAAATTTTAATTATTATTTTAGAAAATGATTAATTTTATATTGAAGTTATTCGAATGGAATAGTTTGTGACGAATGCTCGAGATGCAATACGTTAATTTAGTGCCAAATGATATAAGTTAACTCGTAGCAATATATTGTATCCTAATTGTCTTGTGTAATTTCTCGCGTAGTGTTAGTGACCTATGAGGTTTTAAAGGTTTCTTTTACAAGACTATAATATATTTATACAGGGAAAGTGTTAGGTATGTATTGTTGTTTGGATATAAGAATGTTGTCACGGAAAATACTCATTGTGGCAGGGTGTAAAAATAAAGGTGAATGGCGTCAACTCGCGTTGTGCTTGATGTTGGACTCGAAAGATTTGGACAAGTGTTGTGGTATGACAGAACAACGAGCTGATTTTTATACAAATAATATATCTTGAAGGTTTTTTTTTTCTCCAAAAAAACAAAGTACTCATTATTTTTACACTCTGTTTTTGTAGCACTGAATGAGCAATGGAACAAGAGAATTTATTTACTCAAATAAGTTTTTTTTTTTATTATTTATAATATATTTTTTTTTGTACTAAACGTATACATTATTTTGCATTTTATGATTGTAATGGCAGCTGTCCATGTATTTCGGTGAATGATCAAATCGCTCACTGATTTAGGGTTTCATGAATAAATTAATAAATTATACATCGAACATGACACATTGGGCACAAATATTGATATAAATGATGCTGTAGCTTCCTTCGCTTGCTGTTTGTAGTTTTAAATCATGAAAGGCAGAAACTTCGTACGACTATAATTAATTAAAAACGGCTAAACTTACACCTACGGACTTATCTGTCAGAGTGAATGGACATATTCGGCTAAACCAGACCGGTTTATTGTAAATTTAGTCGTTTTCAGTTAAATATTTAGTTAGTAATGTCTCACGAAAGTTTTAATAATTGAATTCCTATGACTCGTTTGTTAGACGATCTTTGTGGAACCCTTGTTATAGAGTGTATATTTAGTATATTTTCACTGAGCAAAAATCTTGATAACTATTTGTAAGAACAACATCGATGCCGCTGTGCTATGGGGGACACAGTGTTGTGCCAAAATTATGTGCTAGTCTATGATAAAGAAACAAAATGTTGTTATCATTTTTCAGATTTTATTTAGTCCAGAATGTGTTTGTTCCTGTGCTGTGAAAATTATTTCCAACAAATCAACACTAGGTTTTATATTGTAAGGCAAATTGTAACACAATGTACTCGTGTCACATGAAACATTAAACATTTTTTACATAATAACAAACGAACAAATCGTAAATACGTAAAATTAGTAATTAAATTAAAAACTATTTGTTTTGTATAAAACGATTTAAATATGTATATTCCGTCACATGTTTAAAATAATTTAGTGTGCAATTGTTAGTGTATTGTGATATATTTTATATATCTATCTGAATAGACATTTTATTATCAATACTTTGTTCTATTTGGCATACGATTTTATGATAATAAGAGATTGTTTTATTCTATTGTAAGTTATACAAAATATTCACATTTAATAGATAATTCAAATTTATTTTTTTCGTTATAATTTATAGAGTTATATATTTTAAATAAAATTAAGTTTTATAAAAAAATATTTTGTCTAAAGCACATTTTGCAGTTTAGTCTACATGTTGTGTGATTTCTTATTTTATTATTGGTTCAAATGTCTACGTGAAAAAATAATTAATTTGTGATTTAAGTTTGTTAAAACATGGAAAATGGTTATACAGCCAAACATGGATAAGAGAGAAACTCGAATGAGAGAAACTTTTAAGCGATAAAAATATTGCGGTTCTTGAACTCAACGTTATCGAGTTTCGACTGTTCTATCCTAAATGTCAAATTGAGGCAACTATGAGGCATCTGTTTTGGAATTGTTAAAATAAAATCGTGTGCTAAATGGTTTTATACATTGTGTGGACAAAGGGAAAGGCTTGTAAGGGAATGCTAGTAACCAAGGTATCTCCAAGTTGTTGAGGCACGGATACGCTATCGATCTCAGAACAAAGGCGTAGGTTTATTGGAATAAGGTGGTGTTGATTTGTTGATATATTTATAATATTTATGTAATTGCACATAATAATTTAGCTTTGAGCTCGTGCAATAATATTCCAAATTGTTTATAAAAGAAAATGTTATAATTATTTCTAAATTGTTATATAAATATTTTTGTAAATCTTAAAAGACAAAGGCAACATGAATACTATTTTTGTTGTGCATTTATTCACAAATTTTATTAATAACTAGACCACAAACTCATTGTGGACTGTAATGTCTGCGTCTGTGAAAACATATTAATTAGGTACAGTAGATGATTTTATGTATTGCTGATATTGTGAGTCAATTTTAGTAATGGTTATTTCCTTTTATTAAGTTTAATTTACGATAATAAACAAATTAATATAAGATTGCTCAACCAAGATGCAACGCTAACTGCAATGTAGAGAGAGATGATTTTGTATTATGACCTTTTATATCGTTATTTATCTGATATTTCAGTTTATTCATTTGTGAGTTTGGCAGCACATGTTATAATCTTATGTTTATTCTTAAGAGAGGCCAAATGTTGACTTGCTTATGTGAGACTGTTTTGCCAAGATTCAGAAAGTATATTACCTACATTGTTTTAAAATAAATGCTTTTATATAAAGGGGTTTTCTTTTCTTTCTCCTTAAAATTCCATCTTTTCATTTTTTATTGCTTTAAGATGTAAGGCAATGTTTGTATTATTACAATAAAAATATTTAAAAAAAGAAATATGTTGTCTATAAACAATTTAACATTGTGAAGATTTTGTTAGAAAAATGGTAATCCTGTTTAAAACATGCATACAACAAATGGTTGAAGTAATAAATTATATGGGTATAAGTGTTTTATAAAAAACTTAATAAAATATTGGACTAAATTATCTGTTGCCTACTCATAGCTGCATGGCTTAGTTCCTTTGCCTGCTCTCTCGAGCGAATTATAAAAACAACAACAACAGAGTATATAAAAGAGCTGTCAAATTTCAAACAATTGTCAAATAAGTGACTAACCTATATTATATTTACATTTCTGTACCTATTGTACAGGTTTGGGTTATTCAATCTATTAGTATTTGTAAAATACTTAGTATATATATTTTTAAATCTGTATATATAATTTAAACTTAATTTTCACAAGTGTTATATCAAGGAATGAAATCTGTTTAAAGAAATTTACTATAACTGTAATATCTCCCGTGTCCCATACATTTTAAATATTTACTAAGATTAGAACAACAATTATTGTGCGATATTAGATGGCGTTTCCTCAACCTAATGCACAAAGAGGTACATACACTTTAATAAAGTTAATTTTGAAAAACTGAATGTTTCATTGACATGCAACTGTGAAATATTTAGTCCCACTCATCCTGAAGAAGCTTAGTTTAGTTATCTTTTTTATATTTAGTTTAAAATTAACATTTTAATTATTCTATGTAGAATTGACAAATAGAAAAATATTGGAAGAACTGCAGTTGAAGAAACAAATGCTACTGAAACAAGGTGCTGTGGCCCCACTGACAGCTAGCACAATTCCTCTGACTCAGCCCAGCCCAGTCAGCCAGTTGCCTATGTGTTCTATTCCACCTGTATCTGCAACTGCTGTAAGTATAAAGTACATTTTATATGCCACAAATATAAACTATGTTTATAAAGATTAAGGATTTGGATCAATATGTATTTGTGTAACATAAAGGTCAAATAGCATGTCCATGTGGAAGAAGAAATATAGAGGAGGTGACAAATGTGTCCTAGGACTGGGAAAATGGTTGTCGCTGCATATGTTATATTCTTTCTTTTAAAAATAAACACTCATTTTATTATTTTGCTACTTTATTTAGGTTATACAATTTCATAATATATAAAGTTTATCTTCCAGGGCTTTCCTCAATTACCAGAAGCAAATATTGTAAACACAAGCCATAGAGCAGCTCTTCAGCACGCCAACGCTAACTCCTGTGGCTTTTTTGTATCACAGGATTCTTCATTTGGCAACCAGATTTTGCCTGTACTACCAAGATTTGATACTAAGTAATTTTATTACAGTTTAAGTATAATGACTGCTTTATTAAAACTAAAAGTGCTTGAAGAATATTTGCAAGATCTTGTTGGTTTTACGAGGCCAAAAATACAGTATGAACAATATGAAACTCCATCACACATAGCAGCGGTTGCCTTACACACAATACAAGTTAGTACCAAACATATTCAACGTACAGACATATCTAATAAAAAAAGTAACATGTCTTTAGATATCTCATGAGAGATGTTACTCTTATTTATTACTGATTAATTTGATTGCAAAATATGTATTTTGAATGTCTACTCCATAGTTAATGTGGTTGTATCATTTTGGTTTGTGCCTTTTGTTTGAATAATGAAATTATGAAACATAACATATATACAAGAAAAGTAATAATCCTCTAAATTTTCGTTATTTCTCTTGTCTTGATAATTTGACATGTTGCATGCATTCTTTTGTGTTAATTTATTGATTTAAAAAAGCATGTTTTCCCAGGTTCGTTTTGAAGCATTAGAAAATCGATTAGTGCTTGATGCAGGTTGTGGACCAGGTGTATTGGCTATGGGTGCATCTTTACTGGGAGCCAGTCTTGTCACCGCTTTAGATATTGACGAGGATGCCATTAAAATAATCATGGAAAATATTGGTGACACTGAAACTACTAATGTTGAAGTAATACAGACAGATTTTTTAAATTGTAACACTTACAGGTAAATCAAATTTATATTGTTTTTAAATTTAGCCAAGCCTATTTGTACATTACATTTCTAATTATCCTTTTCTGTTTTTCAGATGGGAAAACTACTTTGACACAGTCTTAATGAACCCTCCATTTGGTACGAAGAATAATGTAGGAATGGACATGAAGTTTCTTCATATGGGCCTTGAACTCAGCTGTGACAGCGTATACTCACTACATAAATCTTCAACAAGGTATATTCCTCATTAGTTTCTTCAAAGCAAGAATGGCAGCACCCTTTGTTGTGTAGGAAAAAGTGTCTTTTTGTTGTTGTATTAAAGTATAAATTCCAACAGGTCACATATACAGAAGAAGGTTAAAGAGTGGGGTGTGAAAGGCGAGGTGATTGCAGAACTACGCTATGATTTGCCTGCAACGTACAAATTCCATAAACAAGCCTCACGCGATATCGCCGTCGACCTGTGGAAACTGAAACATCCTCATACATGACAATTACTGCGTTTATAAAATCTAATTGTGAATATGAAATGTCGTGGCATTTGTATACGAAAATTATTACTGTCCCTGTTTTGACAAGGAAAATGGGGATGATGGCAACATTCTCGTTGTCAGGAAATTTAAGATATCCTCCTGTCAAATTCTAAATAAAATCCTTGTGGGAATGGTGTTGTGCAGAGATCAAATAAATATTAATATAAATTCAACTTGTGATAATGTATTTTGAAAATTCCTTATAAAAAATTATCCGTTTTCATTATAAAAAAGATAAAACTTTTTGTAATAAAAACACAACAAATGCTGTTGTTTTTTAAAGATTATATGCGAGTTTTATTTCAAACTGATATTTGATACTCTCCCTTCATTCACCTCTAAACAGCGCGTGGCAACTGGTAAGACAGAAATAGTGAGCATTCATAGATTCATACACAAAATTCACCATATCACCACTCACCATCAGGTGGGCTTGTGGTCAAGCACTAATGTATTATAAAATAAAGTACTCGAAGCACTAAAGTGAGGTGGAGTGTTACAACGCATTCAGAGGCCTTTTCTGTGGTAAATTTCTTGATTTACATTGCAATATTTGCATAAAAAGTAAATCGAATAAAACCCTTTCTCTTACGTTTGTACTTTATTTCTTCGTTTTTAGTAAAATATAAGTAATAATATAAAATTTAATATTATTATAATAGTCGTGACGTTTTTAAAAATTTTTGTAACGGCAATAAAACACAATCTGGTGTTTTTTAATATTTTTTGTTTTAATTTGTTTTTGATAAACATAAAAAACAATTAACATTTCGACAAATGTTTGGATTTATTTTACATCTAATTTTGATATACACTATATTTTCCCGAATTTGGGGACAAATTTCATTGCACTGGTAACCATTGCGTCACGCACACTAAGACATTTATAAAATCGTCCAACGATTAAACGTAAAACTTGTGTGAAATACTCCGTAGGGGTATTATATCTAGATTGATCTAGATTGCAATTTTTAACATTCAATGCCATTGTAAATTCATGATGCCGCCACAAAATGGCAGGATACCCTTTCACTGTACATGGTTATCAAAAATAATTGGCCTGGACTCGTAGAATATCGTGATAAAATCTAAATCACAGTTTTAATTAATAACTTAAAACGAGTCGATAAATAAGACATTATCTTTAAAAACTTTTTTATAATAATAGCTATGTTGTTTACTTATAAAATTTATGATAAATATTGTAATTTCTGATCCCCAGTCCAATCGTCGGATGTTGTCGGCACTGGCGTTGGACTTTCTGACTGCGGGGATGCTTTAAAAGTGAACGGAGTTGTGGTTTGTACTTCCATTTGGAACTGTTGGAGTTCCATTTCAGATACAATAGAAAATATTTTATTTTTCGCCAACGCTTGTAGGTACGGTGAGAACTTCTTAACAGTATCGGAGATGTTTAAAAAGAAGCGATCTAATTCATCGTGTCCTCGGACTGGTTCAACGTTCTTTTCATCATCAAATGTAGATACATTTGGCGTTAATACAGGAGATGCGGATGATACTGACTGGGCCGCTTTCCTCTTTACTGCTTTTAGTTTCTTGTTACTTTTCTTTTGCCATGACTTATTGTTAATAACCTCGTCACTGTCATTATTAGCAAGAGGATCCTCGATGTTAATGTTGATGTAATTTTCTAAGGCTTCCGTCCCATAACTTACTTGGGCATTGTAAGACAGATCATCCTCGCTTGTAATTTCGACGGAATTTTTAGATTTCTTTTCCATGAAAAATGGAGCCACAAAAGCCATTTCTTTTTCATATTTCCATGGTTTAATACCTTTGGCTGCTTCGCCTCTATCTCTCTTATGTTTTAAAGCTCTTCTGAATGAATCTCTGAGACATTGCCATCGTTGTTTACAAGCAATAGCTGGAAAATAACATTTTCATTAATTTCATCATATTACATTTGTTTAGTTATCTTTTTTATATGAGAAGGCGGCAAATGAGGAAATGGGCGACTGAATTCGCCAAAATAGCAAAGCGACCGCTACTCATAGAAATCTGCAAGTGCAGTTGTGTTGCTTACTGATACTCCTTCGGTATGATACAACATAGATATATTTATAACTCCAATGGAGTCTATGTAATTGTCTAATCTAAAAGGAATGTCTCATATAAGTTATAAGTTTCATGTTTGATCGAGGTTTTACGAAATGTCTTTAGTCTGCGTGATGTAAATGTTTACCAGTATAATGAAACATTTTCCCAAATTCGGGAAATTATAGCATATAAAAAGTAAAATACACTCAAACATTTGTCAAAGTGTTTATTATTATTTTCTTTGGCAATTTAATAGTTGTAAGATTTGTTTTATTTTTATGTAAATATTGCATTGTAAATGACAACACTGGGAAAGTTTACCAAAAAAAGGCCTTTCAATTTTGATCCGTCCGTACGTTCCGTCTAGGGACCTACATTGTTATGTACAGACAAGGTTCAACCAAAGACATTTAAGTTGGTATAATTACGTATAAATGTATTTATATTATGTTGTATAATATATGATCTTAACATAACAGGTTTACTTCCACCTCCAATACGCTGATTAATTTTAAATATACAAAAGTAATATCTTACCAGATTGGTTTAATTGCTCCCCAATTTCATTCCATGCAATCTCTTTTTTAGCATTATCCATAGATCTTGGATGTTTTAAATTATATATAAATTCGTATTTGCGTACAGTTTCGATTAATTTCTCGTCATCCATCTTCCACGTATGGTTTATGCGAGTATACATATTGTAAACTGAGTGTCGATAGCAAAAACACAATAAACAACACGCAAGTGAAGAGTACCAACGGTTACTACGGTCGTCATAAGCGGTCGTGAGCCGTATGCCCACCGTTTCTCCGCCTGCGCGCACCGGTTTGGCAACGTCGCATGCCGGTGGCGTATCGGGCCGTATTGGCGCCAGCAAAATATCCTCGTCTCGCCGCCGCGACGCGACGAGGCCGCTCGATTATTGCCGCTCCGTGCATGCCTCGCGGTGGTGCTTGTCGCTCGTCGGTGTGATAACGGTGAAGTTAACAGACTCGTACTTTGTTTTCCAAGATATTCCAAGATTTTTTTGCTTGACATCTTAACTTCACAGGTCATAGTTCAACTTACGTGGGTATATCACCAATTGATTAAAATACATCATTTTTGATTTGCCACGCTATGTTATTGTTTCGTATAATCGATTTTGTGGTTAATGTTAGCGTTTGGTATGGTTACATATTACGTTGTAAAAATAATACAATGATTAAAACTTAGGAAGGTATTATATTTTTATTTATAATGATACAATCAGTCTTCATAAATAACAGCTGTAAACGAATACACATTTTAGCAAATTTCAATGGCATTGGCATCAGGGTTGTGTCGTCAACCTTGATACGCATACTAAGGCGTACCCCACCCGGTTTAGGCGGGTAGGGTCCGTCCGTAGACCGCGGCCACTTAGCCAACGCTCACCGCACCGTGTTACCGGCGAGCCCCGCGGTCCCAGCCCTGTCGAGAATTCTCGCGTGTTGTATGTACGCGGTCCTAGGTATACAAATACAATCTACGTAACGCAACCACGAATCAACACCCGTAACCTTGTAGACCCACGACGTTCAGTCTGAGACGAATCAATGCGGATACCAGACTACGTTACAATGGATACGTTACTTGAGTTGTTTTTATAAGAAATCACAATTTGCATACTTTTGAAATGTAATAAGATTGACTTGCATAGTATATAGTATAAGGATTATTTTATTCTAATGACCAATGGGACCAAAGAGTATATAAAATAAGAATGGGACGGGAAGAGAATCATGTATGTGGGAATATTATTCGTCGCCGAACTGAATGTTTTGAGCGAGTTTGATGGCGCCGGAGCAGTTAATGGTGACGGTGGAGCGGCGCATGTAGGCCTTCCATGCGTCGGAGCCGCACTCGCGCCCACCGCCTGTCGCCTTCTCGCCGCCGAAAGCGCCGCCCACCTCCGCGCCGTTCGTAGGGATGTTTACGTTCACGATGCCGCAGTCAGACCCGTGCGGACCGATCCACTGTAAACATATAAGCAATACGAATACTATGTTACAATGAACGCAATCTGACGTTTCCTTTTCTACAAAGATAATTTTATTGTTATTAAGGAAAGCTAATATTATACCCACAGGTGTATCTACAATAAATGTTGTTTGGTAAGTAACATTAAACCAAGTTCACCTTAAATACGTTGCCCATATTCTCAGTGAACAAGCTGGAAGAGAGACCCTGATCGACTTCGTTGTTGTATTTGATGCCGGTGTCAAGGTCGGGGATTTCGATGCAGTAGACGATGGGCGCGAAGCATTCGGTCTTCACTAGCGGCGAGTCATGCGCCAGACCTGTGATTATCGTCGGCTCCACGAAATATCCCGCCCGTTCGATAACCTACAAATGTTATATTTTGTTATTTAACACATTGCTTTGTCCTGTAAAATTTCAGATTTTATAAAGTAATGAGTTTGCCGTGTTTATGTTAGCAGTTTATTCCAGATTTCCTCATCACCTTGCCACCGAATTCTATCTTTCCTCCTTGTTTCAAGGCTTCTGCGACGGTCTTCTTATAGGCCTCCACAGCGGCCGCCGTGTGCAGCGGCCCTATCAGTGAATTCGCCTCCAAGGGATCTCCGATTTTGCTCACAACTCCAGCGAAAGATTTTGCCAATCTTGACACCACTTCTTTGTACAGCTATAATGATAAGTCAACAAAAATTTAATTATTTTCAAGAGACTGTGATATCATAAGTCCTAATATTTTTCTTATGTACCTTCTTATGTATAAACATCCTACGCGTGGTGGTGCACCTCTGCCCCGCGGTGCCGGCGCATGCGAACAACGCCGCCGACACCAGCAGGTCGACGTTAGCGTCTTCGTTCACCACAATTGCATTGTTGCCGCCCAGTTCCAATAGGTGGCGTCCGAACCTCTTCTGAACTTCCATGCCCACCTACAATAACATATTTTACAACGCGGCTGGGACATCTTTGACATTTTGTTTTATTATTCCACTTTATGTGGTGCATAACTAGCAGCGTAAACCCACAGTAAAGTTATTAAATTATTTTTTTCTCAATTCCACGATTTGATTTTAAGTATGTTAGTTTTTAATACTTACTTGTTGACCAACGGCAGTACTGCCAGTGAAAGAAACTAGTTTCATTCTCGGGTCTTGTACCAACTGTTGGCCGATGTCTTTCCCGCCAACACAAAGCGCCGCCACGGCCCCGGGGATATCATTCCTCTTGAGTACACTTTCCACTATCTTGGTGACCGCAACGGCGACCAATGGCGTGGTATCAGATGGTTTCCATACGCTGGTATCTCCGCAAATCTACAAAAATACAAGAAAGATTTCAATTTTAATTATGTTTACAACAATATGCGTTAAAATCTTACTTCTTGCTAGTATTATAAATGCAAATATTTGCATGGATGGATGGATGTTTGTTTGAAGGTATCTCCAGGCAGGCTAAAAGGATCTTGACGAAATTTGGCATACATTTAGAACATAGTCTGGAAGAACACATAGGCTACCAATTGTTTTTTTTTTTAATTCCGCGCGGACGAAGTCTCGGTTGACTACTAGTTAAGATATAAAAACAAAAAAGCGACACTATGGTATTTGTTTATACGTGTGTGTTTGTAAACGTAGATTACTTGCTACTTTATATTTTTATCATAAGAATATTTCTTATTAAGTATGTCAATACCAAATGTGAATGGAAAGTTTTTGTTTGTAGTTAATAAAAAGTCGTTGTACTTAGTATTTTACAAAAGCAATGCAATCGATAAATGTTTTTTTTTTATTTTAAACTATTCTGGGTGATATATTATTTTCCACCACCTTTTTTCATCTTCTAAGTAACACTGGTACATATAGGTAATTATGGCTTATTGCAACAATTTTGCAAAACCAAATATATAAAAGATGGTTTCGGTAAATATGTTCTCAAGTTCGTTTCCGTTGTGACTTTTACCTACATTTTTATTAGTTATCTAATGTCGCTAATGCAAATTTGGAGTAGGAAAAGTTTAGCAAAATATTTAGTTACCTAATAAATTCAAAAATTAAATTACAAGTGTTATTTATTTCAAGTCTTTAAAAAAAATCTTAATCATTGCATATTTATTAATGCAATGCACATATGCAAAAGCAATGAATATTACTGTATCTTGGTTTATTAATAAGAGAGATATTTTGTTGGATTTTAAGATATCTTAAACAATCATTGGCTAAACTGTTCTTCCAGTGGACCTTCAGATAAATATTGAATTAATAGAAATCCTATCAGTCATCGTAATACTTGTCAGGCCAATTCCATTAAATAACACTATCAGACGTTTGTATTTATCAAGAGATACGCAATATTTAATTAGGTTAAAATATGTAAACACGCAGAAATGACAATGTTAAATGCGAACATATTACGTAAATAACCAATTATATTAAGACCAAAGAGTCATTCAAACATACAAATCGAATATCTGGGTGAGAAAATAACCTTCATATGTTTTAAATACGCGAGTGGATTCTTATTGTTATCTTTTAATTTACCTACAATAGGACATAATAAAGATTTATTAGTAAAACTTAAAACTGTTATAATGAAGGCATAGGTTTTATAATCTATATTCTTACCATAGCAATAGCGCTGTTCCATCCAAATACGGCTACTGGGAAATTGAACGCTGTTATGATACCAATGGCGCCAAGTGGGTTCCATTTCTCTATCAGCATGTGTCCCGGACGCTCCGAAGGGAACACGGTTCCCGGCAGAGACCGAGAAAGGCCCAATGCCAAATCACACACGTGGATATACTCCACTACTTCGCCAACAGCCTCGGGAAGAATTTTCCCTAGTGGAACGAGTACATTTTTAATTATTACGTCATTTGATAATGTCCGTAGTTATTATTCTCGACGTCTTTTGTATCATTAAACAGATAAAGTTGTTTATTGTGTTATTATGATTATTGTAAAACCCAAATTTCTCGAAACTGCACTGTTTTTTTTTTATAAAAACAGCGTTGTGTACCAAAACAACAATGATTAAAAAGCCATCTTTAACACAGGAATGTAAGTAAGGCAGTAGAGGCTGCTGGAGAAATTATTTCAAATTATACGTCAATGTTATGGAAGTTCATTCAACCGATATGCTAATATCAAAAGATAATAATATAACACAATTTGTTATCTGGTAACTCACTTGGTGGTACATTAAGGATACTTTATTTGTTTTTACATCATGTTAAACGACGTATTTTTATTTAGTGTCAACACGACAGAGGTCGTACCATTATTAATAAATATAGAAAAGTAGTAAATAGCTAAGCCAGTCTAGTCATTTGGAGGATAATTAATTTTAAACTGTACCCATTTCCAAGGAGACCAACTGTCCCAATGGCTGTAGTTTTTCCCTTAGTGCATCTCCGATTTGTCTGACTATTTCCCCTCTGGCGGGCGCGGGCAGGTCCGCCCAAGAGTGCCAGGCATCCTGCGCGGCCGCTGCACAAGCCTCGTAGTCAGATGCACTTGCTCCTTGAACTTCGGCTATCACTTTACCATTAGCCGGACTGATTGACTGGATTACCTGATTGAACATAGACATAGATAATAAACTTTGCTGGAAGGGAATGTCAACAAAGACGATTTTCTTATATTAGTTTATTAGTAAAAATAAATAAGTTGACCTATAATTCCTTATAATGTTGAAACTAAAACGTTATATAAAGCTAAATTTTATTACATTTTATCGTAGATTTAGATAGTTTAAGACAATAGAAACCCTATTCGCACCAGATGTGTAAATTTAAGTTCCACATACAAGGTACACTTGGTCAAATAAACCATGTGTAATTGAACCACACGTAACATACCTATTATCATGATGAAATCCATTTCTATTCTGGATAGAACATACTTGTAATAAATATTAGTATTGACAAATCTAACACGAATGGAAAAATACCAAATTTAATCAAATAAATAAATGTAATAAGAATCAGCTTGTAAATTATTATTTTATCCTACCAATTATTGCCTCTGTATAAAAATGTTTCACTTACCTGGCCATTAGCATTCCATTTTCCATTAAAAACACCAACATTCTTCTTCTCCAAGCCCAAATCTTTTAAGAAAGAATATTTGGGATCGTCAATCAAGTAGGCAGACATGTTACGGGATAATGGCAGCTTTAAACGCAGAGTAAAAACAGTGCGGCAAAGTAAACGACTCATCGGTCTAGTTGTAACGGAGTTGTGGAAAGATATGACTTATTTTCCATTCAGAACTGTATAAACAAGCTTTAATTTATGTTATCACTTGACTAACGAACTATCTGTACCTCCACGTATGTACTATCGGTAGAATTATTTGATTATATTGTTGCTGGGTAAGAATTGACAATTTTATTTACAATTCAACCTATCGAGAAAATTACACTATTTTAAAACTAAGCAGTCGCTATCTAGGTCTAAAGGCGTGCAGTATTTTTAATAAAAAATAACTACGTATTCCATATAAAGCTTGCAAAGCGAGTTTGCAACATGCACTATAACAGGTTTTGCGTAGTAATTTAGCACAGTACTCTGTGCCAGCTAAAGTCAATGCGGAAATGCACTACGTAAAGGTCTGATGGCTAATTTTTTTTTCTTTAAATGAAAAAAAATTATTTGTATTGTTCATTATAATACTAGTGCAGTTTGGTTTTATGCTTTAGACTTTAACTTGCCCGAAACTTTATCGAACACGCGTAAAAAATGGTAGACTTCGATTGTGTACTTTTTTGCCAACACTAGTCCGCGCGACAATATTTTTATGAGAAGTGCATTATGCTGAATATATAAAGTTTAAAAAAGGGATAAGGAATGTTCAGGAATAGAATTTTGTCTAACGTAAAGAATTAAAAAAAATGCATGATCAACTATGACGCTAGAGGGCACCCGGGCGGTCCCAATAAATATTGAAATTTGGGATCTGTAAAATTAACTCCTGTTTAATTTCCATAATGTAAAAAGACCTTATCTATTTAACTAATACTGTAATCTTATTAATATTACTTGGCTATTTTTTTCAATTCCGCGCGGACGGACTTTGGTTCACAGCTGGTAAATAAATAAGAAACGATTCGTAATAAATAATTTTACTTAAAATAACCATTGTACTGCTGTAGAATAGGAATTGCCTAATATTTTGCTAACTAAAACCATTTTTTTGTCACATTATTGTACATAAACTATCACTAGTTTCTTCCGTTTTCCCCTCTCTCATTTCTTTGGCTTTAAGCGCAAGATAAGTATTTTCATCTCTCTTGGCCATCCACTCAGGCAATGGCTTGTCCCAGTCAGCGGGTGGTGCATCGCGTTTCTTCCATGTATCATTTCTATAGTGAGCCCTCAACCTCTCCAAACGTCGTTGTTTTTCGCTTTCTATTACAGCTACCTGTAACATAAAAAAGTTTAAAACTTCTTGAACATCTATGTGGCTTAAAACTTGGCAAAAGTCACTGTGCACATTACAATTTTATAATTTATCTTACCGCAGCTTTTACGTCTTTACTATTCTCCCATTTGCAGCAATTGTCATAGTCTCTTTTCCATTGTTTGCAATCTAGTAGTTCACCGAATATAAAATACTGATGGAATCTGCCCCGGAAACTTGTACATTCTTTGTACTCATCTTTGTACACTTCACAATCTCTTATCTGTACAATTAGAAAAAAAGGCAAAGAACAGAAGAAATTAGTTATACAATAAAAATTTTATAAGCAAACAATAAAAAAATTGAAGCTTCTAATACAGGGAAGTAAAAAGCAGCAAAAAGTAAACTATATTGTACAGGTCATTTTTATATTTTTTTACCATACTATTTCATGATCTATTTTTTAAGACTAAAACAAATAATTACAGGGAGATAAAGGTTTAGGTTCTCTTGCATAAGAATTTTAGAATAATAAAAAAGTACCAGCCACTTTTCATCTGGCCTTATTGTTGGTTCCGCGGACTCGGATGATGTGTTTCCTGGATCTGTTTTGTCTGCAACTGCTTGCGACATTATGGGAAGGTATAATTTTTACACAGTTTACTCTTTTGCCAATGTTACTTTATACAGAAACTTGCGTAACTCAAGGAAATTATTTTTGATTTAATTTTCATGGAATTAGTCGGACAGTGTACATTTTTCAATTATGATTTATATCATTAGTTTATATTTTATTCACTTAAAATAGTTGCCACCGTATAATATGTAAAATATTAACATTACATTAAATTATAATTCTAACCTAAAAATCCATGCCAGGGTCAAAATGACAAATTTAAAATTTGACATTGACAATCAGCTGGTTATTCGATTTAGTTTTTTCTTCAACGATTAGCGAAATCTTTGACGACTTAATTATTATTAAAATTCCGAATGTGATCTATAAAGAATTTATTATCTTACAGCTATTATACATTTAATTTTCATGCAGAGCATTTACGGCATATATTCGAAAGATTGTAAGAAAAAAAATTAAAAATTTCTTCCACCAACGATTAGAATCTAAATCAAAAATTTTATATACTCTTTGATCTAAATTATATAAGCTGTGCAATATTGACATTTGTATTTTATTTTCCACTTAAAGTTTTATTTACATTTTTAACTTATCTGATTTTAGTATTAAAAGTCGTGGCCTTTGTACCGACTTTACACTTTATAGTAAAAAGTAATAAAAACCTATAACTTTGATATACTTCGTGAATCGTGAATATTCATTTCAACATGTCGCTCAATAAATTAGTTGGAAGCGATTGTGGTGGCAATAACTCTCTTGTTAAATTATCAAACATTGTCAGTCGAGATGCTTCTATTTCGCAACAAATCTCACAATCTGATAGATTAGTGAATGAATTCTTAGCCCAAAATACTCAAGTACCACAAACATTTAATATGAACACTTTGCTTAACAGTGTACATGAAGTTGAGAGTTCAAAACAACAAACTATTCCTCACCTTAACCCAAATCAAATGCGAACAGTCAGTTCCAATATACATTCGCCTTGGTTACCAGGGCCATCATCATCTTACATGCCTCCAACAGGTATGTTACATACATTCCAGGCCCCTTTTCCATCTTCATCAAGACAACAAATGCTACCAAATGTCAGTATCCAATACATGGATGAATCAGAATTTAAAAATGTTAAAGACAGTGATGTGCGAGCAAAAGCTCAGGAATACATTGAAACAGTTGATGATGAACAAGCATATAATCAATTTATGTCATTTATGAAACGCATAAGTGCTGGAGAGTTAAATCTCGGGGAATCTGATCAAGATCAAAGGACAATGGGTAAAGACAAAATAATTGATGAAATGGCAGAAAAATATAAAGATGAATGGGCTAAATTAAGTGATATGACTGGTGATTGGAAATTATCAAACAGTGATGGTATTCCAGAAGAATATACATTTACGGATGGCAATGTCATGTTAGAAAACAAAAGTGCCTTTGAACTTGGTAAAGAAAAATTAAAAATGGGTGATATACCAGGGGCTGTCCTTTGTTTTGAAGCTGCAGTGCAGCAACAACCTGAATCAGCTGAAGCATGGTTTTATTTGGGAACAACTCAAGCAGAGAATGAACAAGATCCCTTGGCCATTACGGCATTAAAAAAATCTCTTTCAATCGATCCAAGACAATTAGAAGCTTACATCACTTTAGCAGCAGCTTACACTAATGAAGATATGCCTAAATTTGCATTTGTTGCTTTATCTAACTGGTTGAATGCAAGTCCGAAATATAGTGATCTATTGCCCAGAGATGTCGAAATTCAGAATTTAGACTTAAAAGAATTAGAGAACCATGTGAAATCATTATATTTAAGAGCAGCACAGTTGAACCCCTCAGAAATAGATCCTGATGTTCAAAATGCTCTTGGCGTTATTTTTAACATCAGTCAGGAATATGATAAAGCAGTAGATTGTTTTAAAACAGCTTTGATGGTGTCTAATGAGAATGCCAAATTATGGAACAGACTTGGTGCCACTCTGGCTAACAGTAATAGATCAGAAGAAGCAGTTAATGCATATCATGAAGCTCTTAATTTAGAGCCTGGTTTCATAAGAGCTAGATATAATGTTGGTGTAACTTGCATGAACTTAGGTGCACATAAACAAGCCGCTGAGCATTTTCTTGTTGCCCTAAACCAACAAAATAAGGCAAAGAACTTGCATCAGGACACATCAACATCTAATATTGGATCATCAACTATTTGGTCAACATTAAGAATGGTTTGTTCTTTCATGGGAAATCATGAAGCAGCAAGTTTAGTGGATGACAGGAAATTGGATGAACTTAACAAACATTTTGAATTGGATGCTTGAGGTGATGACTTATGTAATTTAAATAATGGGTTTGTTTATAGGGGAAAGTACAGGTTTAAGAATTAAAGTGACAACAAAAGGTTTATATTATGATTGTTATAAGGTGCTAATTAATAAGAATTTTTTATTCAAGGTTTTTAATTAAAATGTGGTAAAAACATAGATATTGATATTTAACCATTTAACACTTTCTTATTTTTTAATAAAATGGTGATAATAAAGTCATTTAGTGGGCTATTTAGGGAACTATACATAAAAATAAAATGTCTGTAAAAACACTTGTTCTTTTACAATCCTTAATTAGTATTATGTCACTTAAAATATTATTGAATATTTGTCAACTGATTGCATGCAGGTAACTGCAACTACTATCAGTTAGGGGACAACCTTGAGGATGGTTGTTATAAAACCAACAAGGTTTTATTTGTACCCTTATAGATAAACTTTTATTTTTGTGTATTTTCATAGATTTCATAATGTCTTCAACAGTTTTTGGATGTCTCAATTGAACTTTTCCTTTTTGGACTTTAAAAATATGGTGGTTATTCTTTAATAGTGTTTGCAATCCTCCACATTCTGCTTTCAAAGCTTTTAAAATGTCTCCTGGTATTTGATCGACAAGGTCCCCAATAGGTAGTTCTTTTCCTGGGTTCCATTTATCCTGAAAATTGCATCCATCTAAGAGAAAGTTTGTTATTTTATCAACAACAGTTTTTATAACTGATTTCTCAATTTGGGTGCAATTTTTTACTTTCTCTATTGGGTTTCTGGCTTTAAAATTATTGCCATTATTTGTGTTCTCAAACTCTTTACCGTTATTTATTATTATCTCTAAAACTTTTTTGTTGTATGTTTCATATTGATCATTATCATATTTCCTGGTCCTACCAATGAGGCAAATTCTTTTTGTACTTGGTATTTTAAGTCTATCTATTTCAGTATTGAACCCACAATCTTCACATAGTTTGTGGATATAATCTAAATATTCATTATATTGACTTTTTGATGAATTTTGTCTTTGATACTTTGTACCATCAAAATTATAGGCACAGCATGGAAGTAAAAAGAAGTTGCAATTGTAAGAACATCTTAATGCCATAACTGGTATCCAAGGTGTGAGTTCATCAGAATGGTTTCCTATTATCCAATCAAATTCTGTGAAGTCATGAATGTTTTCTGGTGTTACAGTTTTTTCCTGAAATTAATCATTATTTATTTTTTGTATAAAGCATAAAGAGCTGTATGTAAATTACTTACTTCAAGTTTTATCTCCGGATCATACATGTTCCAAATATTTCTTTTTCGTACATCTACTCCCAATCCTTTATGCCCCTCTTTTGTCAAAATATATACAAGCAAGCCGTTCCCACAGCCAATGTCTACAAATCTTACTGGTTTATTAGATGAATTAGCATTAGTATTCTCCCACAGCAGGAGCAAGTAAGTGGCTATAGCAACATCCTCAAACACAAATTTGGTAGGATCAGTGCTCTCTGGCCAAATCTACAAGTAATATTGTATTATAACTATACTTAAAAGCAATTGTAGTTACATTAATTAATAATTTTTTAACATTTAAAACGATAAATTCCTGTAGAGTTTGGTTTTAAGTTTACATTTAAAAAAAAGACAAAATAGTTTATAATTACCTTAACCATGGCCTTCCCATATTTCAGTTTTAAACTGTTATATCTAGTGTAATATTTATCATTTGGTACAAGTGCCAGAGAATCTTTAATTGTTCCTGATATATTATTATTGGTAACTAAATCTTGATCCATCCATCTAATAATTTGTGGTAATACATTAAATCGAAGCCATTTCTGGGACTTAGAATTTTCATCTGTGAGCAATATTAATTTTTTAATTACATATTAAATAGTACAACTAAATATCTAAAATATTAAACTGAAACTAACCATTACATCCAATAATTAATATATCCTCATTGATTAGCTGAAAGCTATAAGTAAAATTTGGGCATAGACTTTGATTGTACTCTTTAGGAGTCACATCATAAAATGTTGCAGTCGCTTTATCCTTTTCTAAACAGACTAATTGAAAACCATGACTATCTGTATAATTTTTGGGTAATAATTCTAATAAAATAATTTCCACAAAGTTATTCTGTCCTTCCACAGTATTCTTTTCATCAAGAGGCTTGAGGCTTGTTTTCAGAAAGAAATCTTGCATAAAACTAAGCACTTCGTTTTCATTCTTTAAATACAAATCGCTTATAGCAATATCATGGTTATATCGATCGTCTACATCTTGGCAAATATGTTTAGAAAGCAAATTACTACCCCATAATCTTTTATTTATAACATGAGGTTTATCTACTAGTATATTAATCGCCTGCCAAAAAGAAACCGCATTAGGAGAGTCCATGTTCGAGTTAAAATATTATTTATTGCTGTTTCACATGTTTTGAATTGGGAAAGTGAAAAGAATTGCTAAACTGTCCAATACACACATGTCTTGTATTTGTTGTGAATATGACACACTGACATTGATGTGGCAGTTGACACTGTCATCTTTCTTTTTTAATTTTAAGTCTTGGCAGAGGAGTAACTACACAAAACATGCAGAGAATCCAGAAGAAAACATTGTTTCAAAAAACGTTTTATTTACGATTTAATCCAAATCCAAAGTCCATAAAAAGGACTAATTACCAAAATTTAGTTTTTAAAGTCTCTAAGGAAAGAATTAATGGAGAGAAAATGAGGTGGTAGTTAAAAAATGTTAGAATCGTGGAGAAATGACTAGAGTTTGGATTTGATTTATTTACTCTATGGCAAATATGTCAGTGTCAATTTGCAAATGTCAAAAGCTGCTTGCACAGTTTTGAACGATTTTGTATCGTCAAAAATTAAAATAATAAACATTACGAATATTTGTAGTTTTAGTATAATTGTTCTGACGCATGATAGTGTATAAACAGTTACGGGTTTTGTTAGTTAATTCACAAAATTTTTTACCTGTTTATGTAGGTAATGTCATACACTGAGCTTGAACATGGATACCAAGGCTTGCGACAAGCTTCTCAGCCACAGTTTTACGTCGAAAATGATGGAAATCTCGTTCCAATAAGATCACCTGTAAGCAATTCATCACTTTCTTTTCAATATTTATTATTGCTTAAAAACTAGGAATGTCAATGTGAGATGTTGCAAATTTTTTACATTATTATTAGAGAAAATGTTTGAAGCACTTTAGTTAATTCAATACAAAATAAAGAGCTTAAAGTTTTTATTCATCTAAAAAATTTAATGCTAGAAATAGTATAAGTGTGAATACTTCTTAATCTGTGCTACAATCATACACAAACAAACATAAATATCTTAAATAAATATTAGCAGTCCATTAGTACTCTGAGTCATGTTAAGAATGCTGAATTATTTTGAACTAGTAAATTAATTTTGTTCATAACTGTTTATTACAGCTATATAATAGTAGTTATCATAAACATATAGAGTGAGGATTTATAACTAACACTGTATGACAATGACAAGTGAGGTAATGTATGTTAATTTGTCAAGCTTATCTTAGTTATCATGTACAAAGTGACAGGGACCAATCACAAAGTAGTACTATTGTTGCTATCATCATAGAAATTGATAAGTGTATTAGAAGTGATAATTACAATAATATAGTGAGTTGTGATGGAGTGGCAATGGCTGAAAGACTGGTGGCGGCTTAAAAGATGGAGGAACAAAAAAAAAGAACAAAATGGAGATGACTTTTGTTTTTGTGATGATTGTTTACCTGATGTGAGATAACAATACTGCTTTTGTTTTTCTATTTTTGATTATTAATACAATTTAACACTGAAACATTGTATTGTAAAATATTTGTGATATGTAATGTCTTTATCTTTTTAAAAAGAAATTATGATTATTTTATCATAGTAGGTTAAAGAATACAATTGTAAATAATTTATTTAATAACATTTATTTACTCAATAATAACATAATTTATTTCATTTCTGTAGTAGAAATTGCACAAATTCTGTATAAAAAAAAAACTAAAAAATTTTTATACAAATAATCATCTTAACTGAAGTAAAAACTTGGTGCTTAAATAATTGTGAATTATGAAAGATTTAATTTATTTGGTTTAAGAAATGATGCATAATTAGTTTGTATCATTAAAGAGCAGTATAAAAGTGTGGGTTTCCTCTTATTTTTTTCTAAACATTTTCCCTAAGTGACCTTGAGATTGAGACCAAGTTGATTGGCAGTATCTTTATATAAGCTTTGTTACAGGGCGAGTTGGAGCTGTGTGAGTCTCCTGAGGCGCAGTGCGATGGCGGCAAGAAGGTGGCGGTGGGCGTCTGCGCCATGGCCAAGAAGTCGCAGTCGAAGCCCATGAAGGAAATACTAACACGTCTCGATGAGTTTGAATACATCAAGATGATAGTTTTCCCTGAGGAGGTTATCCTTAAGGTTCTGCACACTATCTAACCTCAGTAGTGGAATAAAATATCTTAACAGGGGAATGGCTTTTTAATTTAAATTATTTTATTAATTTTAAAAGGCCTACAACGAATTGTAATGGAAATGCCTATTTTGTTTCACTACTTTACTATTTTGAGTTATTTCACTATTAACCCGGTGTTAAAGTGTTTGAGACTACACATGTCCACACTTCATCTGCGGCACATCACTGCTTGCATGTTATAAAATGCCTAATTCCCATTAGAGCTATGTCTCATATTTAACTCTAAATCATTGTAACTTCGAAAGTTTTTATAGATTTTTCTAGATGAATTACAATATATGAGTTTATTGCAGAAACCCGTTGAGGAATGGCCGATCTGTGATTGCTTAATCTCTTTTCACTCTAAAGGCTTCCCGCTTGATAAAGCCATTCAATATGAAAAGTTAAGGAAGCCATATGTTATAAACAACTTGCATATGCAATATGATATACAGGTAATATAATTTTTTTGCAGACATTATAGCTTTTATTTACATACTAGCGGCCACCCGCGCGGTATGAAAAATAAAAATAATTACTAGCCTATGTATACTTTAACAGTGGTAGAGCCCGCTTTAACATCTTCGAAATAATTGGCCCGGTTCGCCCTGTGATATACCACGACCACACAGAAGTGAAGTGGAAGCAAATCCGTGTTTCGTCTCATACGTGTGCGTCCACGTGGCCTAATTTAGTCCTCTTTCCCTTCCCACTCTTTTTCTTATAAGGAAAAGATGGGATGTGGAAGTGGACTTTCCGGATGAGATGATGCAAGGGAAGGGATAACATTTTCTTTCTGTGCATCCTGTCCTCCGTCGATTAAAAGTAGGCAACGCATATGCAATTGCGTATGTCTATGGGCAACGGTCACTCCGCTATTTCAGTGATTACAGGTGGCCGCTCGCTCGTTTGCCACTTTATGATAATAAAAAAAGCGTTCTAGGCTATGTTCTAAATGTATGCCAAATTTCATAGAGAGCCTTTGAGGGGTTCTGGAGAAATCTTCTAACAAACATCCATCCATTAAATTTATGATTACTTCCTTATTTACAGGATCGTAGAAAAGTGTACGCAATATTAGAAGGTGAAGGTATAGAGATACCAAGATATGCAGTTTTAGATAGAGATTCACCGGACCCAAAGCGTACGTTACATTGTTCTGGACCTTTCTAATGATGTATCGTATTTGTAACTTGAGTGGTAATATTGTCGTTTGTTGTAGACCATGAGTTAGTGGAATCAGAGGATCACGTGGAAGTGAACGGTGTTGTGTTCAATAAACCCTTCGTGGAAAAGCCGGTGTCGGCGGAAGACCACAATATTTACATTTACTACCCGACATCGGCAGGAGGTGGCAGTCAACGTCTGTTTAGAAAAGTACGAGAATATTTTATATAATAATTCGCATTTTTTTTTAAGTCAGAGTATAGTTCATGTGTTTTAATTTTGCAGATTGGTAGTCGCAGCAGTATTTATTCTCCGGAATCTAGAGTAAGGAAAACTGGTTCGTTTATATATGAAGATTTTATGCCGACGGATGGTGAGTAAAATAAATAATGGACCAAATTTGACTTTATTGAAATTGTGAAATGTGCAGAAAGGACATAAAAATGTTGGTTATAGTATTAAAAATCCTAATGATGTAGGAATATTACGCACGTTCGTAAGAGTTACAATGTTTTCCCCTCTAGGTTGCATCGTAAATAACACGCACACAAAGCAACTGACATATGAAACAAATAATTCAATGTTGGTTATTTTGAAATTCAACATGCAAGTCTATATAGAAATCATTTCGACGAATGCAACACATTTTACGGTCCGGAGTATTTCTTTTGTAAGAAATTGATTGAAATTATAATTTAAATCAGGCACAGATGTGAAAGTATACACGGTGGGTCCGGATTATGCGCATGCTGAGGCTCGGAAGAGTCCAGCTCTGGACGGTAAGGTGGAGCGAGACTCTGAAGGCAAGGAGATCAGATACCCCGTTATATTATCTAATCAAGAGAAGCTGATATCTCGCAAAGTATGCTTGGCCTTCAAGCAAACTGTCTGCGGCTTCGATTTATTGAGGTAAGTCCAAAGTAGTTAAAGTAGCGCTTTCGTAGGAATCATCTTTAGTGTTAGAGGTGTGTCGTTTGCGAAGTTTAACCTACAAAAGTTGAATATGTAATTTATACAGTAAATGTTTGATATTTAAAAGATCGGTGGCTGGTTGTTACTAAAATAAGAAAGGTATGTAATTGTACAGATTTTAGTTATTTTAGATTCGGCAAAAAGTATTCAGTTTTGATTTTATATTTAATGGGGAGTGTAGTACACGAACAATTTTTTTATAATCTTTAGGACGATATTACACATCAAGTGTGAATATCGTATAAACAAAATGTTGTATTAAAAATAACTGAAGTATCAGTGTCATAACATGTAAAAGTAAAGACCGTATGACGCAAGACACTTGGCTGAAACCCAAATGCTTGTACATTGTAAATCGCTTGAGATAACTAAAAGCAACCTTGACTATGAATATTTGTCGACATTTCATGGAAAGATAATGTGTTTTTAATTATGTCATATATATCATCACCTTTATAAATTATTAGTCAAAAGCGTTAAATCTACATTCGCCTATAAATTATAAGGTATTAATTCTTCCTTTAAAAAAAAACGGAAGGCGACTGTCTGAGTTAGGTTAGGTTAAAAAACTCTGGTAACAAAAGGACTTTTTTTAATTCCTAAAATACGATTAAAAATCGACATGATGATACAAAATTTATTACCGAAAAGATACTACGTATACTATATCGTCTAAAGGAAATTGTTTTTTTTTTCAACTAAGCTCTCTCGTATTCAGGGCTAACGGCAAGTCGTTCGTATGCGACGTGAACGGTTTCTCGTTTGTGAAGAACTCGAACAAGTACTACGACGATTGCGCCAAGATTTTGGGCAACATGATCCTACGGGAGCTGGCACCGACGCTACACATACCTTGGTCGGTGCCCTTCCAGCTGGACGATCCACCTATC